TAGACAGGCACTAGATACTCCTTTTAAATTTAACATGTAAAATCTGTATCATATCTATTATAGAAATATATATATATATATATATATATATATGCACACTAAGGACAGCCTGAATTTGAGAAAGTTGATATATAATTCAGAATAAAAGAAAATAAGTACTTCAAACAAAACCAGCAAAAACTTTTTACAAATCCATTAGTAAACCATTGAGAAAATTAGTCAGTTTTGAGCTTTCTATTAAAGAAAAAGTCACTATGACTAATTAGTGTAAATATTTAGCTAGAATGGCGGCAAAATTTTTAAATATAAGGTAAGAGTAAATAAAAACTAAAATTCAACAATAATGTAACCTTTGATTTTATAGTCTGCCTGGAAGAAAGGAGATATTATCAAGTAATATAAAAATCATTTTGTACACTGATTTAAAATCTAAATAAGCGATATGAATACATTGGTAAAAAAAACAAAAAAAAACAATGTTTTCATCTCTAATTCTTTTTTAAAAATGCATGCTTAACATCCTGATACAGCCTAACACTCTGCAAAGTAAACTGACTTTCCTTGTACTGAATAAAAATCTTATAAAATCTCTTCAGTTTGATCAAAATAGATGCCTAAAAAAACAAACCAAACTACACCAGTGGAATGTCAGAGATCAAATTTGAGCTTTTTAGCAAGCATTCAGGAAACAATAATGTTCATTGAATTTTTATAAAATCTTCATATTTTTTCAACAGCTTAAAATTTAACTTGAGCATACTGTAAAGATATAAACTGACAGTTAATCAATTGTTCAGACATTCATTTTCTTGCTTTTCTTTTCTCTTTTACATATAACAAAAAGCAAAGTGTAATTGATTTTCATTACTAATAACAAATCTAAATAAACATGAATGTGATAGCCTCCCAATAATGAGCAATTGAATTTTGGTAACAATTATGATATGTTCAGATTTTTATCAGGCCCTTGGGATTCTACAAATAAAATAAAGACAGAAAAAATGCCACTAACATAAATGCTTATTAAAAAAAAAAAAAAAAGACAGCTAGGAGGGATTCTTTCCTTTTATTTGGTTTTATGCAGTTTTAGGACGAATTTGACTCCAGGAAACAAAAAATGAAAGCAAGAAATAAATATAATAATTAAGATGGCATTTGTAAGAAAGCTCCATTCGTACATTAGAAAAAAAAAAAAAAAAAAAAAAATCAGTGGGGAAATTTGGTAATATTTGTGTTTTTACCTAAAGATGCAGATGAAATTACTTTTATGGTATATTTTTTATCGAAAATTTAGAGTTGTTAAAAATTACCTCCCTTGTAAAAGAGAGACAACTCATTTAATTTTTTTGGCACAAAACAAAATGGTACATTTTTTAGACCTAAGTAAAAGCTAACAGCAGCTTTCTGAGTACTTTATTAAAATGTTAGATTTTTTAAAATATAATTTGATAGGAAAAAATGTGTAAAATGAGAATTGTTCGATGATACAAATAGAAAAACAAAGGAATCATCCTGATTTTTATCTCAATCAAATAAATGTATTAAATTTGTGAAATATAGTTTTTTTTTTAATATTTGGTTAACATGCAAATAAAATCAGACATCCTTAGAAAATTTAGAATATATAATTAGCACTGAAATTGAATCTTTGACAAATAATGATTTTAAAACCTAATTCTGATATTAATCTGATATCATGAGATAAAAAATAAATGGATGAAAATGTATATTTGTAATCCCTATTTTAAGAATGCATATTTTCAAGAATTTATTCTTGATATACCATTGTTATTCAGATAACAAATCAATCTTTATGAACAAATGTTACTGTTAATATAGTTGCCATAATGAAGACATGACTTTTCAATACATAAAAAATTAGCCAGAATTAAGGTGCTGGCATATTCCATCACAATTTCATATATAAACTAAAAACTTTCAAGCATTTTTAAGACAATAGCAATAATAATTATAACTTATAAAATATAATTCCAAAATAATTGATATATTTGATTTTGTTTTTATGATTGACTCCACACCCACATTTCTGGAGTTTGTGGCTCTTAGAAAATTACACTAACTTATTGTCTCTGCATTTTTTCTTGAAGCCTTGATAGTGACAGTAGTATACTCAACACAGAATCAGGCTACACATGTCTATGCAGTGAGACAAAGCAGGTTTCCTTGGATTTGCACTGAAAATAATTCAATCAAATTTTGCACAGGAAACGATTTCCAAGCTGATGAGTTTTAGTGGGAAGGTTTTGAGACAGTAAAATACTGACTGACAGTCTATTTTTCAACTGATATGAGTTTGTAAGTCACAACTTCAACAAGAGTATTTATAAACAACCTATATTAGCCTCTGAAAATTTGGATGTTAAATGAGTATTTAAGAAATCAACTTCTTTAAAAAAATTATATATATATGTGTGTGTAATTTATATATATTACAAAAGTATCTTTATCACATTTTCTTATTTTAAAATCCTCAAAATTTTGAACTTCATATTTGATGTTTTTCCATAAATTATAAATCACTTTTGTGTCTTAATATTTTCAGATGCATGTTTTCCATTTTTAAAAATTTAGAAAGTTCAAGTGCTTTGGAAACATTTCAAAATAATTGTCACAAAGTACCATTCTTTTTTTTAATAAGTTACAACCATATTTGATATTAGTTCAAGTGCAGCTAATCAGATATTTCTTAAATTGCTTATTTATGAGAAACATACTAAGACAACACAAGTTAGTGTGGAAATTTTCAGAAGGCCAGGAGCAGATAGCAAATAACAGAGAAGATATGTAATGAATGTATTGGCACTTCAATATTGATTTTATTACCAATTTTTAAATCTTCATTTAAGTCTCTGCCTTTGCTTATGAAACACTTACTTGGTGATGTCATTGTAAATAAATATGTACAAATTCTTTGAGTTATTTAGTAAAAATAATGAAAATCTTTTATGCTGATTCAAGTGGATTTTTAAGGTAATAAAGTAAACAATGGAATATATAATTCTTGTCTAAATTTTGTTAGATGAGATGCTTTAATCTTTTTATGACACAAATAATGGTGTGTATTCTTTATTGACAGATTTTATATATCTGTCAATAAAGAATGTAAATTTAAACCCACGATTAATGAAGGAGAAAAATTTGGACCCCTATACATATATGAATTTATATAAAATTTTCAACTTTAGCATCATATTTTTTTTTGTATTTAAATGAAGATTATATGAGTACTAGATCGTATTTCCAAAACATGAGAGAGGATTGGGTAAAAATAAAGTATAAATAAAATCTAATTTAAAAAATAGATTCTGCTCCACGTAAACATAATTGATGTTTACCAAAAGAGGAGCACGAGTAATTTATATAATTTTGTGGAAAACAAAACAAAAATACATATAAAAATTAATCTACTAACAGTAACGAGCCAAGTATTGAAAAATGAAAATATCATTTTTTTCTTATTTTAAGGAGGATATCACATTCCAATAAAAAACAAAAAAAACAAACTTGCAATACCTCTAAGTATAACAGCCGACATAGCATAAAGTCTGAACTGACCCCCTAAAAACATTCAAACAGTGAATTGTGCAAAATGGCCTCAAACCAAATTGAACAATGATATATCAGACTTGTTAATAAAAGTATATCTATATCACAAGCTTGTTTAACAAAGCCTTTTTAACAATAAGAATAACAAGAGAGTAAAGTTCAGTTACAGGTGACCAAAATAGCAAACATTCAATGTCTATTATCTTAGATGACCATGAAAGGTCATTGTTCAATTATTACCTAAGTACATTCCACAAGAGATAAAAAGAAATGGGACAAATCATTGTTCAAAGAATTTGAGAACGTTGTTGAAGCTTTTCTTCAGACTGTTACACTCAATTGAAAATGCTGGCACCAAGTGTGTTATGTGTAAGCAACAGAATATTCCACCATTATTTGATGAAAAGCGGAGATTTCACAATCAAAAACTCAACTGGTACACTGGAATTGAACCAAAATCTGTGGGACACAGGAACAGTAGTTGTCACTTTTAATTTTGGGGACAAAATTCCAAAAAGGAACTACTCTTAGATGCATAATACAAGGTGGGGATTTTCATAATTGGAGAGGGGGGGGATCCAAAATCTTTTCTCAATATGTAATAAACTGGGGTGGGCTTAATAAAAGGGGTGTTAGGAAAATCCTTTTAAAGATTTTTAGAATGGTCAAAAATGTGAAATTAATAAATATTTTAGTCTTAAGAAGTTTACGAGGGGGGTGAAGAAAGAAAATATTCATAGAAAAAAAAAAAAAAAAAAAATGTCCCTCCTCCTCCATCTATTAGGCACCTAAGAGTTCAAACTCACTGGTAATACATAAAAAAAAAAAAATAAAAAAAAAGTAGAGATTCATTTATACTGTGGTTGGTAATGGTGTAAATGGAAAGCAACTGAGGATGAGTTTGATACTCTCTGATTGGTTCATAAATATGATCACATTTAACTAAATCAAACTAAAATCAATGCTTTTTCTTTTTTTTACTCTCTCAATTAAACTCTTTGTCAACACAAAGAAAAAAAAGATTGTAGTTAAAGCTGTTGGTAAGTTTCATTTGTACATCAATTTAAAGAAGCTCACTCAATACACAGTTTGAAATGCTGCAAAGTAAACTTATTAGTATAAAGTCTAACTAGTCTGGAAAGTCTTCATCTATAAATGCTCAAAATTCTAGCCACCCTATCTTGTTTGTTAAGTGTGCAGAAATAGGGAATTTCATGCACCCCACATCCTCAACCCCCCATTAGAGACACTGGAATTGGACCCCACAAAAGATAAAGGGATACATGCACACCTTACTAGTTATATGCTATGTACCAATGTAGAGGCAGTTTGTTGATATAAATTCCACATTGGTTTTAAGTCTCTCTTTTTGCTACAATGAATTTTTCAGGCAAATTCCAGTAATAAGAAAGCATACTAAATAGGCTGGGATATCACTGTCGTGGTGGCACAGGTGGAGGAGGTTTTGAACGAGCTGGCACTGGGGGAAGACTAGAAGGTGGTCGAGAAGGGAGAGGAGGTGGAGGAGCTCCTGAAGAAGGCTTTGGCCTAGGCCTGGCTGCAGAAGAAGGTATCATATTTGGAGTCAAGCTATTTGAGGGCAAAGGAGGTGGTGGTCCAGAGGGACAAGGGGTAACAGGTTTCACTAATGGTTGCTCTGTTAAGGCAGATGTAGCACTTCTAGAATCAGGAATTTGTGGTATCTCTGAAGTGCGATCTTTCCTAGCAGGAACTGGTGGTGGAGCAGATGCCCTAAAATTTGGAGGTTCATTTTCCTGGAGTTTAACTGGACTCAAAGGTTTTATATCAAATGGCTTTATTTCAAATGGATCTAGTGGGCTTTCTGTAGAGTTATGTTGATTTGAAAACTTGGGTGAAATTGGTGCATCCATCAAACTGTTGGTAAATGGATTGTTTCTCGAAGGAACAGGTGGGACACTACCAAGCGTGCTATTCACCTGGCTCTCTATGACATTAGTCACAGGTCGAGTACGAGTTACAGGAAGAGGTGGCTGGGAACCTTCTGCCAAAGACCTTTCAGTCATTGTGAAACTTTCGACACTGGCACTGCGCAATCGAGCTATGCGAGGTTTTGGTTTGGGAATATCACCCTGAAAATTTTCATCTCTTGATGAGTCTGAAGTTAGGCATTCAGCAGTTTGGCTTCTGGATAAGTTGCTCTGGGGAGATGGCGACTTAAGCTGGATACTGATATCTGAATAAATAGAAAAAAATATATAAAAAACATTGTTTGATAACAGAAAAAATTATGCAGAAATTTAAGTTTCATTCATATATATATATATATATATATATGATGGCCTAGGGGTGAGAGTCTCCAAATGATGTCAAATCGGATCGGGTCTCGATCCCGGCTTGAAGTAATTGCATGTCTAACCACGCTGATGAGCTGTGATACAGTGAAACAGTCTGTCTGTGGATAACTACATCTTTTTTATATATATATATATATATATATATATATATATATATATAAAACACACACAACTGCAAAAGTAGGTATACAGTAAGTATAGGTATACAAACAAATCCCAGGGCAAACAGTTTGAACATTTGAGGGATTGATATGTTTATCATTGATATTTTTGTATAATTAATACATTTCAAGTGCATGTATTGTTTTTCATTACTGTATATCTATTTTTGCACCCCCCCCCCATATATATATATATATATAAAATGGACTCTCTTGCCGGTTCTACAGCTGTCTCTTCTCCTCAACACTGGTTCTGAAGGGTTTTCTTAAGAGAAAATAACTATAAGGCTGCCACCAAGTTTTCTTTGTGACTTGAGTTGCCCACTGCTATGAGTCACTGCTACAGGAAGTGAAAGTCTTTCTGTCAGTGTGGTGTTCTTCACTGACATAGTAAAACCTTTAATAGACCAGCATTGACACTTAACCTGTTCAATGTTGATATATCTTGTAGATCAGGGGGTCTTAAACTGAAAGAAAGGTGTAGTGGGTCAGAAGTTGAGCCTTTGCCAGGGTATTACCAATGAGGAAGGCATCAACTCCAGAGGAAGCCCACTGATAGAAGTAAATTTTCTCACATTAAAATCAGTTTGTATCACATTCACAGATGGTGGGGGACAATTTTGAGGGGTCAGTTTTCCTTAATATGAGCTGGCAAATATATTTTTTTATACTCCCACCACAAAAAAAAACAAAAAAAAAACAAAAAACAACAAGAACATTGTTGCAAAGTACATTTGTACCCTCTCATCAGGTATCTGATGATGAGATACATGGCGGCCGAGAGGTCAGGTTGTCTTCCCTTCCTAGATGTACCAAAACAGATTCTGCTGATCATAATTTATTGATTGCTAGTGGGTAGGTCAAGCTCAATACTGCTAATGTAAAGTATGGATGTTGTCGAGAGATAAATTTATTAAACTTGAAAAGTATATCAGTCAAAAAAATGGTCCTCTGTAGGCTGCAGAAATAATCTGTGGGCCACATGTTTGAGACCTGTTGTAGAGTATGGCCTTCATAGATGCTCAAAGCTATCATAGTGAGTAGTCTCTTATATGATATATAATTATAAATGTTGTTTATTCATGGGCTATTTACTGTAATGACACACACTTGCTTCTATCATTATTGTCTCTAGACCATATGTACTGTAAAAACAAAAAAAAAAAAATGAAAATTTTAAAACAGTTTAACAACATATTGCTGTTTGCTTTACGAAGAAAAATAATAGATAAGAGAAATGAAAGGAAAAATGAAACCAACCTGATGGTGAGATAATGCTAGATGGTTGGCTAGTATTGTTCTCTTTTAATAGGAGCTTATCTATCAACCTTTCAGCATCATCAATACTAATGGCATGGCCTTGGTGCTGCACATTGGTTGGTAGGCCAATGTTGTTTATTTGCTGTAAAGGCAAACCAAAGAAATTAGATTATTCTGTCAAAAATTTAAATTAAATAGGAGAAACTGAGAAAAATTCTAGATGAAATTGTGTTTTATTTGAAATTCATAGACCATTATCTCATTAAAATAACAATTTCTTCATCATTGTCCCATTTGTACATATTTAACTTATTTTCATTATGCCAAATTGTTTTATTTCTTTGAAATTTATCTTAACTTGTTAAAATAATTTCATATTCACTAATAGTTATATATACCAAAATTGATCCCCACAGATATCTCAAATATTTCACACTGAATAAAGTGCTGGAATCTAAAACTAACCCATTTTTCACAAGTACAATCAAATGCATCATATAACAGGAAAGAGAATTTTTAAACACACTATTTATTTAAATTAACAATGTAGCAAAGAAAAGTAAAGTTGAGAATTCTTACCTTGAACTTTGTTTGTTCTACTTGTGGGCGCATTGGGGCTTTCAATGGTTTGGCTGGTTCTATAAGAATCATATGAATGTAATTAGTGAAGAGCAGACAGCTCCTTTAACATTTATTCCTCACTGCTGGAGATACAAACCAAATATATATATATATATACATACACACACACACACACACACAGTGTATTAATGTGTATAAGGTGACTTTTAGATAAGACAAGGTAAAAAATATAGCAAATTTTCATAAATTTATCCTATACCTGTAGTATGAGATGACTGATTATTCATTAAAGATGATGTTATTGGAAATGTTACTGTATCCTTAGAAATTCAAAATAAACAAAATAACAAAACCAATTCTATATCAAATTTTTCCTACACACATCCCCTAAAAGGGAAAACATTGCTTTGTTTACATTTCATCATGTGATCTCTTGCGATTACCGATTCTTCTCCCTCTTTTCCTATATCTAAACAGTTACAAACAGCCTGGTGTACTAATGGCCATTTACTTATACTTCACCAACGATCACAAAATACCTCTAATAACAGTATGGTAATGTACAATAATAGTACATTCCATTGCTGTGAATGCAATAACTTGATGTTTACATTTTCTCAGCTGAGCTTGCATGGATACAAGTTGATTTCATTGACATGGAATTACTGTTCAAATAGACAATTATGAAGTTTTGCCAGTAATATATAAGGTAGAAATTGTTTTATTACATTTATTATCAGTTTATTTGATGCAAAACTTTTCATGTACATTATTATTCACACTGAGACCGAGGTTAGCCTACAGACAAACATCACTCAGAATTTAAGGTTTCTTTTTTTAGAATTGTAATATAAGATAACCCTCAATTTCTAAGGGCAATTTTGGGGACTTAAAGGTTGTTTTATACACAGAAAAATACAGCATTATATAACATCATCATTCTGTATCTTGAGTGGCTCTTAGGACTTGTACTGGCTGAAAAATTAAATAAATAAATCTAAAAAAAAAAAAAAAAAATGTTAGGTACTTTAAAGCAAACTGTTCAAAGGTAAGCAAAAATAAAATGAAATTTTCAAAATTGCACTTGCTGTTTTTATGTCTTAGCAGATAATATCTACCACATGTGGAAATTTAAGAATGTATGTAGTTCTACAGAAGGATGCTAAGAATGCTATGGACTGAACATGTGAGCAATAATGAAGTTTTAGTGAAAATAAAAACAAAAAAGACACTTATACTTAACATCAGAAAGAGACAGTTGAAATTTCTAGGAAACATGAAGAAAGAGGGTTTAGAAAATTTGATACTCACAGGACAGATTGATAGCAAGATGGACAGAGGAAAGCAGTGCATAACCTACCTAATGAGTTTATGTAAATAGTTGGCAGAACAGGGATTAGGAGTGATAGCAAAAAGACCAAATTTACTAAGAGCTACAAAGGACAGGAAATTATAGAGAGCCATGATCACCCATGTTGTGAAGGGACATGGCACATAGAAGATGGTGGCAAAGGATATTTGAAATGCTGTTTTACAGTATTTGTTACAATGTATTATAAATGGAAAAGTGACATATTATAACTGTTACATGAAAATAATTTAAAGTTCACTGCATTACAATTTCACCTGATTATAGAAGAGAGCATATTGTGAAAAAAGGACTGACAATCTATTTTTGAATGATTGTGTTCAAAAAGCTGGTAAATGTGGAAGAAAAGAGAAAGATAGTTTGTAGATTTCCATTAAATCAAAGAGGTTTCATTTTAATTTGTTGCTACCAATCTAAGTAGGAATGACTACAAAACACTTGCCCCTCCCCAATTCATAGGCAGAAGCACACAAATGCATGCTGGGATTTTTTCCTAGACAATAAAATAGGCCAGTTCTCAGTTTCATTTGACTCAGTCTGTCTTGAAGTCAGAATGCTATGTTTTCTTGTCTGAACTTGCTTTTGTTTGTCAACCCTAATAATTAGTTTGTGAACTTTTTGCCTTATTACTGTTAATTTGCCTTGCATATATCGTTTGCTTGCTTTATATCATTTTTTGCTCTGTTCTTTTCTTTTTCTTGTTATTGCAAACTTTGTCAATTCTGTTTGTTGGACAGTTCTGTTACTTATTTTGCATTTGACCATGACTACTCACTCCACATAATTATTTACATTTGGACAAATGTTCTCATCTTCTTCAAGAGTTTGTTGGCAAGTAAAGAAGGTCAAGTGTAACGGCCAAATGGCAGAAGCAAGCAGGCAAGAAGAATGCTAGATTTAAATCTCTATACTCAGGATTGTCCCACTGGACAATAACTTGCTTTATGAATTTGGTGGCATAATATTTGTGTGTTCAATCTTTTGGTTGGTAGTACAGACTAAGTGAAAACAGAGCTAGCAATTATTGAACGAAGGATACCTGGATTGACGGACAACTGAAGAAGGCCAGAGGGAATGATGCCTGAAATGTTGTGATAACAAAGATGAGGACATTAGTTCAAATGTTAATAATAATAACCCCTCATGCCTGAAATCCAGACAAAAATTTATCACATATCTAGATGTAGATTAAATTCTTAAATGTTTCTCAAAATTAATGCTTCCAGGCAGTGAATTAATAAACTATTTCATTTTCAGTGAATTTAGCTTTTACTTATGATGAAAAAGAAAATGTTCACCTAAAACTTTCACTGCCTTTAATAGTACATCACAAAGAACTATTGGAACTGCAAATAACCTTGACATATTTGGGAAGGATATTAGAATAATCCACAAACTATACTGGCAGCAAGCTGCCTGCATATGGATAGAAAATGAATTCAGCAGATATACAAAAATAGAAAGTGGCATAAGACAAAGATGTGTTTTCTCACCAGACTTATTCAACCTATACAGCGAGGAGATTCTGAAAGAATTAGAAGTCCTAACAGGATTCATTATTAGCAGACAAAATCTTAAGATCATAAGATATACAGATGAGACAGTATTGATAGCAGATATAGAGAGGAAATTACAGGAACTTCTACAGAAGATAGTGAAGGAAAGTGAGAAGAAAGGACTAAACATCAGTTGCAAGAAGATAGAATGCATAATTACCAGGAAAGTTGTAGATGTTAAAAACAAAGAAGTACAATAATTTAAATATTTGGAAAGTATTTTAACAAAGTATGGAAATTGTGAAGCTAAAATCTGAAGGTGTATTGGAATAGTGAAAGTTGCCTTCCAAAAGCTAAGCAAAATATTAAGAAATAGGAAAATTGTGTTAGAAACAAAGAAAAGAGTACTGAACTGTTAAGTAATATAAGTCCTCCTATATGGCAGGGAATGCTGGACAATCTCCACACAAATGAAGAAGAGACCTGAACCAACAGAAATGTGGTTCTACAGAAGGATGCTGAGAATACCATGGACTGAACATGTCAGCAACAATGGAGTTTTAGAGAAAATGGAAACAAAAAGGACACTTATACTTAACATCAGAAAGAGATAATTGAAATATCTCAGGCAGATAATGAGGAAAGAGGGCTTGGAAAATCTGATACTCACATTATAGATTGAAGACAAGAGGGACAGAAAGAACACATAACATACCTAAAAAGCTTGTGTAAATGGATGGCAGGAAAGTGTGGCAAGCTATGATTGCTAATGTCCTGAAGGAACATGGGACATAGAAGAATAGTCTTGCTGAAGTCTTAGAAAAAATATTTTTAAATTGGAACACACAATATCTGTATCTCTACTAAAATTTGCAGTAGAGAAATATATGAACCGAGAAAATTTCTGTTGCTTTGTCCTTAAAGTTTTTTTAATATGAAAAGTACAGAATTAACTTAGTTGTTTTTCTTAAAATTTCACATAAATAATTACTATTATTAAAAATAGTCAAAATTCTGTCTTCAAATGATGTAATAGGGCAGTGGTCCTGATTGAGTTATACTAGTGCATAGAAAGTTGTTAGTGACTTGAGATATTGAGAGACATGATAATTCTGAGTGATGGAGTAAAGACTTAGAAAGAGAATATGAGAGAGTCTGATGAAAAGAAAGTCTGGTTTAAAAATATTAAATATATTAATATTATTTATTAAACCTATAAAATACTCATGAGAAGGACCTCAGAAGAGTTTGAACTCCAATTAAACTAAGTCAGATTTAATAAGATTCAGTATAACTGACACTCCTGACCCAATGTATTTACCAAAAGTTCAGATTTTTGGCCAATCTAGGTTTTGTTTATTTAGAGTTCTATTTGCCATATCTGTGGTAGTTTCAATGTAATTTTGGAAACTTAAAAATGTAGGTCAAAATCAAAAAACACTTTATGGTTGGCCATCTGGTTTTTCTAACAGGAGGTTCTTTGTTCAAGAAGCTAATTAATCATGTCCAGTTCAGGTTTGGAAGCATATATAAGCAAACTATGCATATGCATAAAAGTGAGGCAGAAAAAGGAATCAGAGAGATCCAGATTGTCCAGAATTGTCTAAGTACATGCCTTGTAGAGTCCCACCAAAGCCCTTCATCCACCACAGAAGTCAATTACTGCAGAGCATAAGTCTCTTAGTGCCTCAAGTTTAGCAAGAAAGAGATTGGAACAAATTAGCTGTTGTATGATTTTTTTTTTACATTTCATCTGTAATTGTTGATAATTTTTAGACAGCCTCATTTCTTTTATTGGCACATTACAACTCTTTCAGCAGGATCACCCAGCACTGAAGAATTGGTAAAATTTGATTGTCACCCAGACCAACAAAAAATCCACAGCTTGTGAATTGCTCATGAGTAATCAGAACAAACTAGACAACACATCCGAGTGAAGGAAAGAAGCCACTTGCACGGAAATGTAACCTACCCTCCTGGTATGGTATTTGACAACTGGACAAGTGTTGCTTTTGATAACCAGCTTCAGCATAGGTGAAGTCTGGTGATCACATGGCCAAAGGACATAGGTCATATTTTTTTTTTTTAAATAATGATGGCAGAAATTAGATTTTTTTTTCATCCAGACTTTAGAGAACAAGAGCTTTTTGCTTATCACAGATTGAGGATTATAGACAAATTTTGATAAATTTATTTACTGACCAGGTTTAACCTTTGTAGGCCCACTTGTTGGTCTCGGTGGTGGTTTACCAGGTCTCTGAGGAGGTACTTTTTTCTGAAATTGAAAGTATTTAAAAAGTTTACTTTATCCTCATCTTCTGAATACCAAAAAAAAAAAAAAAAAAATCAACAGGTAGGAAGAACTGATAAAAAATATTAATACTTTTATTAAAGAGCCAACAGAATTCTAGGAGGATGTACTGGATGACCATAAAATGAGATTAAATTTTCAAAAAATTATCTAAAAGTGCATTTGTGATAGCCAATTACAGGTTTAATTTTTTTTTTTTTTTTTTTTATTGTTGTCAACATTTTGTTCTGTACAAGCATTCTAAAGATTCCAGATTTCTTTTTTTTTTTTTCCTTTTAGCAAAATCATTTATGCATGTAAAACTAATAGGAGTAGATATGTTCGCCTATTGCCTGGTTCACACTCCTCCCTGATCTTTTGAACAGAAGTACAGGTTTAGTTCAGCTGTATGCTACTAATGCTTGTCCTTTCTTATGCTAATACAACTCCACACAGTAACCCTCTACCTTGAGTGGCTCTTGGGCCTTGTATTGAATGAACATTAGTAAAAAAAAAAAAAAAGATTTAAGTCATTGAAGTATTTTCTTTGATTATGATCTTAACAATACCTTTCAGATAAATTGTGTCTTCTACCATAAAATAACAATTCTGGCTTTGATTTGATGAATTCTTTGAGGATATTTTTTATCTTTTGAAATTGTTAGAACTACCAATCAAACCACTACAATTAAAAAGAGCAAAACAAGTGATTTTAAATTTTGCTTGGACAACTAAATCCATATTTTGCTTTTTTGATATTGTTAACATTTTGGTTGATTCATTCATTCTCCAGTTCTCATCAAGTGTATAATCCATGAATTTGGAAAAGTGGTCATTAAAATACCAATCAAATCAAATCCATTTCAGCATTAGATGCACAAATGTAATGATATAACTATATTATACATGGGAGTTTCTAAACTTCTTCACTAAGCAAAGAAAAACCACATGGTGTTGTAATCTATATAAGCCTGAATTATGATCTTGACCATCAAAGCAGAAATGAATGCTGATTCATTCCATTGCCTTACTCTTCAGTCTAGTTCTATGTCAGTTATCTGAACCACTTATAACAGATTTTTGATACTTCTCTCTTTTTTTTCACATATTGTACATCTGATGAAGACTGAAAAAGAAATCAATTGAGACACTAAGTTGAAAATGTCTATGCAAAGAAGGAGTCTAATTATCTGCAAAATTTGGAATGCCAGCTCTTCTCACAATTATAAACAAAATAAATGATAATGTAAATGTGACATATCTGAATTTATATGGATGAACTTCTCATCCCAGCTCTACAACCATTTGCTGCATTGCATTTGAAACATTTTATACTGTCACAATTAGGTTAGATGTGTGGGTAGTATAATGGTTAGTGACTCAGAAAGAGAAAAAGATGAGTTAAGTTCAAATTCTGGCCAGGTTTGTTGCAGTCACTTTCACACATCCTTTCTCCACCTAAGCTGCCTGGGCTTTCTTGTCTTGATTTGGCAACCAATCTGGTAGAAGGAAAATTATAAATGAGTTTTGTCATGCAGCAAAATTACCAGCCAACTTCATTGCCCTTCTAATAGGTTTTTCTATTCCAGTGACTAATTCAAATGATTTAAACAATTTTGTTTTATTTTTTCTGCAACTAATTACTTCTGTCTCAATACTAAGTCTGATCAGATTGATAAGGAATAATTGGCAACTGATCTCAAAAATGACCTAAAATTTTTTTGTTAATTGGGGCAATGAATGGCTTGTTAATTTTAGTGCCTCCAAACTTTTAATTGTCGAAGAGAACACCTTTTACCTTCCATCAGAATGGCTGATGCTAACCTCCAAGAGTGTGACTCATTGCGCCTTCTCGAACTAATGTTTTCTGCTGACATGAAGTGGAAAGATTATATTGAATTAATTGCTAGGTCTGCAACAAGTAAAGTTGGTTCACTGTGTTGTGCTAAACAATTTTTCTCATCAGAATTTATTTCACATATGTATAAGTTTACCATTCGCCCTTGCTTTGAATATTGCTGCCACATATTGTCTGGTGCTCCTGCTACATATTTAGAGAGTCTTGCGAAAATTCAAAGAATCTGCAATGTTATTAGTCCTAACCTGGCATTTTTGCTTCAGTCACTTTCCCACCACATAGCTTCCTTGTGCCTTTTGTATAAATACTTTTATGGTAATTGTTCTGATTAACTTTCCTCTATGGTAATTAGACTTTATGAATTTAAATGCAGTACTAGATTGGCTGTAAGGTCTCATTTTAAAGTTGAAATAGCTAGATGTAACCATAAGTTTTATGCTAACAGTTTCTTCTATCACACTTCTCACTTGTGGAACACTCTTCCAACTTCTTGCTGCTTCCCAGTCAAATTTGACTTTCAGAAATTTAAATGCAATGTCAATCATTATCTTCTGCCTTCTTAATTCTTGTTCTTTTATTGTTCTTTCTCCATAATAATTTTTTCCTCATATTCCCTAACACTCAGTAACACCTTGCATCTTAGTGGCTTTATTACCTTGTTTAAGGGTGAAATGATTAAAAAATAAATTTGGATTGCGCTGAATATTCTCCAATTTGTCATTTTTCAAGTTCTAAGATCTTCCAGCACATTCTTAGCACTTGAGTTCAAAATATGCTGTTTTAAATCTTCACAAACTCACTCAATAAACATGCATGCACCTACTGCATGAGCTTGTGATGCCTTGACTTGATTCTACTATACTTTTTCCAAGATTACACAAGATTACACATTACACAATGTTGCCAAATGTGCATTTTATATTCAATAATGATTTCCATCAAAATAAAGTAAAATGATCACTTTTATGCAAACAGTTCTTGAAGAGGGTTTGCACAAGCAGCAGAGGAGTATATCTCCAAGTCACTTCTAAGATTTCACCAACATTGTACAAAATAGCATTCACATCCAACCTAATAGTGATAAGTTTCATAACCCATTAGGGTTGTAGGAGCATAAGATGTACTGTGGTGATTGCAGCTGTGGTGTGTCTCAGGCAAAATAATCTGATGTAAATCATCATCCTTCTTCAGGCTGGTTTTGTATTTAAAATTTTCCTTCTCTTAGATTGGTTGCCAACTAAAGGCAAAAGAGACCAGGCAGACCTGCTATTTAACCCATAGATTGGGTGGAGAAAAGATGGATTTATATCTTTCCCAAGAGTAGTTGTACAAAAGCAACTGCAATGAAGCTGGGCTGAATTTGAATTTGGCTCACCAATTTCTCTTTCTGAATTACTAACCATTACACTAACCATACATCTAACCTAATAGTAACACAGTATAAAAATGTAAAAATTTAATGTCACTTTCTTCATATGCTGATACGTTTAAGCTGTGGAGATATTTTTTGATACATTTAGGGAAGATGTGGTAAAAATCTATGTAATAGCAATATTAATACCCAGTATATTTAAAAAAAAAAAAAAAAAAATCAAATTATTTAGAAATATTTATAAAATAAAAAAATGAACAAAATTGAATCAAGTAAGAAAATAAACTCAGATATTCATTTTATAGCTTGCAAAACAAAATGACTATATATATATATATATATATATATATATATGTTACTCTTACCTCAGCTAGAGGTGCTGTAGGCCGTGGGGGTGGACGTTCTGGTCGCTGAGGTTTGTCTGATGAACTATCATCAGATGCAGCTGGACTATTTCGACCTGAAAAATTAATAGTGAAATCAGCTAGTTTTTTTTTTTTTAATAATTCAATTCATAATAAGAGAAAATTGATCAGTTCTTTAACCTAGAGAAAATCATTACAAAAAACTGCTGTTAATGTTTTTTTTTTACTGGAACAGTTTAAGTGGAAAAATAATCAATCTTCATTGTAAATAAATCAAAATGTGATTTACACTTTTGAGACATGTCATGCCACATTGCCCTGCTCCAATAAATATAAAAAAATTGATCAACATAAACACATTTTGAAAATTTAAAATGTTCAATATTCTGTTAATTTCAGCTGAAGCTTAAAACTTTAACCTGTCTTTTAACTAAATGGAAATGTGTGATCGGGTTAATTTATAAACACTGAAACAATTGATATATGAAAGTGTGAATAGATAAGATTTTTAAGACTAAAACACATAATTCAATATAAAATTGTGAGATAGACTAAAGTTTTTAACACTAAAATCATTAATTTAGTTTAAAGTAGCAGCATTTAGAATCTTAACCTTTAAAATTCATTTAGGTCAATCAATTTCAAATTTTTATTTTAAAAGGTGGCACAAAAGAGCAATATATATTAAAAAGGATCTCAAAGTGTTTCTCTTACAGACAAAAAAAATTAGATGACTAAGATGCACCTAGTTAATTTGCTATAAATATGTGGGTTCATACACATCTTGGGTGTTCAATTCATTTGTATTCTTATAAAATGCAATACTGAAGAGTAAACATCAGTTGGTAAAAAGTAACGTTCATCATAATATGGCTAATTTTCAAGCACTAACCCACAACACAGAAATTTGTCTGATCAATAAAAATCTTTTAAGTTTTGACTCTTCAGGTCTAAACTGTTACTCTAGTCAAACACCTAACAGCTAAACAATAAAACTATAAATGAACAAGAAAAGAAAGAGAGTACAAAGACCAATTACATGCATTGAATATTGCTGTTGTGTCTGGTCTGGTGCCTTGGCTATGTATTTAGACATTCTTGATAAAATACAAAGAAGAATCTACAATTTGTCTGTGCTTTGACCACATTCCCACTGCCCTAATGTAGCTTCCTTGTACCTTTTCTGTAAATATTTTCATGGTAATTGTTTTGATAAGCTTTACTATATGGTACCTAGACTTTATGAATTAAGCACAGTACTAGATTTGCCGTAAGGTCTCATCATTTTACAGTTAAAATGGCTAGATGTAACTAAGTTCTATGCTAACAGTTTCTTTTCTTGCATTATAAGAAATTTTAAGCTGATTGAGCATCTATTATCTGTTTTTCTGAGAGAAAACCAACGCTGTGTTAGGTTCTTGTTTAAACTTTTACATTTCAAAAATATTTTTGACCACTCAGATTTGTGGTCACCACCCACATTTGGTTTTCACTCAGAATCAATCAGAAGGTTTCCCTCCAAATTCCAAGAAGCAAATCTGGAGCTACCTTGGTGAATAAAAGCAGAAGCAGAATTGAATTCAACAAACAGCTGCTGCATGAACCCAGGTTGGCCCAGTCAAGGAACACACAGCAGAGAAGAAATTTGACAACCACTGAACTATATTTTTTTGTCGTTTTTTAATTTTTCTTTTATTAACCAAATAAAAAAAGTCCTTTAGTACTTCTCACTTGTGGAACTCTCTCCCAGCTTCTTGTTTTCCAGTCAACTTTAATCTTCAAAAGTTTAAACACAATGTCAATTATTTTCTATCTTTTTATTGCCTGTTCTTTTATTCTTCTCTCTCCCCTTATAATGTTTGTCTTTCTCATATTCTTTCACACTCAATAATCCCTTACATCTCAGTGGCTTTATTGCCTTGTTTGTGGTGAAATGATTTAAAAAAAAAAAAAAAAAAAAAAAAAAACAAAACAAAAAAAAACAAACAACATAAGAGAAACCTGGAAATTTGTTAAAAAATATAGTGAATAATTGTATTTTCCCCCATTGTACTTAACATCATCTGAAGGTGCATTTTTATTCACTGTATGTCTTCAAGTGGAAGCAAAATATTTTTAATACAGGATATTATTTTATTTATAGGTCAGTCAGTTAAGTGTCATATGTGATACATGCTTGAGCAATCATGTCTCTATTCAACTCATGACAGACTGGACAGAAGATTTTTCCTGCAGTAGGTTGCCATTTCTTTCTGCAATAAGCCAGTTGCCGACCAAGGCTACAGGATCCAGTCTGTCCTGCTATCCAACTAGTTGGGGAGAAGAGAAGTGATGGATTCATACCCTTTCCCAAAGGTATACGCACATAAGTGAATGTAATGAACCTGACTAGAATTTGAACTTGGTGCTCAAATCTTCAATTTCAAGCTGTTATCCATTACACCCCAATGTAAATCTATTTACAATACAGATTGGATTGCTTTCTTTGGATAGTTTCAACAATAGAACAGAAGTAATTTGTTCAATGTAAGTTTCCAAGTTAAATAACCATTAAATACAGAAAAATTTACATCATATTCTCTCTCCCACCCCTATATTGTTTCCAGAGATGATACCAGCATCAATGAAACTTTTTCTTGGGGATTTAGGTTTCATGATTATTGAAGGGACAAACTAGGTATATATAAAAAAAAAAAATATTCCAAGGTAAATGACCTTTTCTAAATTAAAATGTATCTAATTCCTACATTACTACAGAAAACTGTTTACCAATATATATTTGATATACTCTTCTCTCCTTTCTGAAGGTTCAAAATAGAGACAGGCACCAAACTATTGTCTTTACATTATTTTCTATATCAGTAATATCAGTTCATCAGAAATTTTGAATTGTTGGCAGACTAAAGTTATTGAGTTCTGTAATTAAATGCTAATTCTTTTGGTTTTAACTCTTGTCTACTTTGCAAAGATACTCATCAGCATAGATTTATTATTAAAGTTTTTTTTTTTTTTTTATTAATATCAATAAAACAAACTTAAAAACAAATTATCCTTCTACAACTTGATAGTCTTATTAACTGACCTGATGATGGTGTGCTTGATCGTGACCATGCTGGCAGTGGAGGAACTGGCAACACTATGTCCGAAGCTTCTTCATCGAAATCAACATCACCTGAAAATGAATAAAATTTGAAAAACAGTAGTTTTTTTAGTTCTTATAGAGAACCAACAGAATGTAAATGACCTGATAACATGAGAAATGTTGACATTTGAAATGGTTTATTTTATGTCAATACATTTAAATCATTTAATTCAGCTATTATCATAATTTTCTTATATATTATTTAAAATGATGTCATATTTCAAGAATTAATAGGATATATTATTGGGATATGAACAAATAGGAATCTTTATGATCTCTTGTCAGTATTTTTCCTCTCTTTACGTCTATTCTATTTCTATACTGTTTACAAAGCACTCTTCTGAATTTTACCAGTAGCATGTCTTTAGTGTTATTGTGGTAATATTATATAACTATGAGGAAACTTCATTTTGATATTAGGTGTGTGATTTTTTTCGTAATATAATCACAATGCTACAACTTGAAGATGATTTGAAGAAAAATGATGTTGGTTTAGTCCCAAGTGGTTAGCATGCTTCAGTAAAAATATTGGCAAAATTGGACCTTCATGTCTGCAAAGAAACAGTGTGTCAAAAGAACACTTTCCTTTGACACCACTATTATTTTAACTATATTCACTCTTTGGCAATGTTTGTTTTAAAAAGTGACAATTAGAATTGTAATAAAACTTAAACATATGATGATAGTGAATTTACACTTTTTTTTTTGGTTCTTGAGAATTTACATAAAATTATTAAACACTATGAAACTGTTTATTTACAAGAATAATTTTATCTTTACAACATTCTAAAAACTAATACAATGAAAATTAATGCAATTCAATATTTATCATTTACCAATTTATAAAGAAATAAATGTGAAAACAATTTTTTATTCATATATTTATAAACATAAAGGAAATCCTTAATATTTACCATTTTGTAAAGTTTGAATCAATTGGCAATTAGTGAATGTTTTGCCAACCATTCCAATAAACAATCTAATAAATAGTGTTTGTTATTTTTGCTGTCAATTCTCAAGAACAAAGAAAACATATAAATTCACTTTCACATGTTTAAGTTTTATTACAATTCTAATCATTGCTTTTTAAAACAATAAAACATTACCAAAGAGTAAAGGTAGCTAAAATGACAGTGGTGTCAATGGAAAAGCTGTTCTTTTGACAGACTGTTTTTTTGCATGCATGAAGGTTCACGTTTACCAAAGTATTCATCAATTCTTAAAAAGAAGCCCGACCAAAGGCCACAGATTTGCAATCGATGATCATAAAGGTAATTATTGAATCTAAGACTGTAACAATGTTGAAATGAAAACAGCTTAGTCATATGAAAGTTAAAATTATATTGTTCTCATCTTCCTTTACAGATAGGATTGTGTTATAAAAATTCAGACAGCTGCTTTTATCATTTTGAACTTGAACTGGCACAAACATACAAGGTGTCTCAAAACTTACTATTTCAGTGAAATTTGATGTTTTTTTTTCCAAAAAAGTGCTATATGGACATAAAAATTTGCATCATTAGTGCATTTTTTTGTTTTTCTTTAAATTAGCTTATGTTGATTTTTGTGTAAGTCTAAAGGTGTACACTGGTTAGTGAATTCAAGATATAGGAGAGCTTAGAAATCTTAATGATGCAGTTCAAAGAATAACAACATCTCAGATGCTGGAAAGTGTGTTCCAGGAAGCATCTTATCGATTTAAGCTTTGTAGAGACAATGATGGTCGTCATGTAGAGTACTATTTCTTTGCAGTATCTAACTTGAAATAAATATATTTTTTCATATTTAAACCTATTTTTCATAATTCCAATTACTTCTCAAAACAGTAACTTTTGAGACATCCTGTATTTAAATTATCAGTGCCACACTTTTGTGTTTGTATACTTTTCAGCTAACCCAGGTCACTGCTAGGACTGCCATAAATTGTACCTACTTTTTAATAGTGAAACCAAAGAATATGCCTAACACCTGGAAGCAAGTCTGTAGGAAGTTTCTCAATCTGACTCTCACCAGACATGTCGACTGAAAAATTTTAAAACCTGCAGATCTAGATTTCTAATTTCAGAAAAACACTGAGAAATGGTAACATTTCTACAATAACCAAAAATGTTTACTCTAAAAGCATCATTCTTCAAATTTACAGCAGTTAGTTCCAATGGAGGCAGGATTTTGGACCAACATTAAACCATTTCTGGCCAATGTTTTACTTGTAAACAAACCCAGATTTAGTAAATCTTATTGAAAAACTTTATCTCTGCAGTAATTTAATGGAATTATAGCCTGAAATTATGAAATGGTTTTCAAGACACATGCAAACTGAATAGGAAATATTTCAACCTGGCAGCTCTTTTAGTAAAGAAAGGTTAAATTATTTATTTAGAGAGCATTTTGTAAAAACTGGCAGACTATGTAGAAGATCAATGCTTAACAATTAACTGGAAGAAACTATTTAAGAACTCAAGAGACTGTGATAAGAGCTAAAAAACAGGAGAGCTGATAGGTCTGCACTCAACAGAAGTGGCAAAAAAAGAACCTAAAGATTTTCATTTACTTCATGCATAATATTATGTACAATTTACACTACCAAAAATATTAAAGATTACAGTGGCATTCAAGAATAAAGTCTTGTAGTAGATTTTAAAATGGTAAACCAAACTTCTTTATCATTATTTGCATATACATACTTTTGAACAATTGGTTTAGGTAACATAGACTTCTGATTGGAATGATATAAGTTGTATGTCAAGGAGAGTTTTTTTTTTTTTTCTCTTCCCCTGTAATGAAGCAAAAGCAAAGTGATCACACACAGAGGTTAACCAAGTCTGGAGGAAAGCTTCTCAACCTGACTCTCATTGTAAGTAGCAAAAAAAAACAAACAAAAAAAACTCTGAATTTTTTTTTTATTTTTTTTATTTGCTTTATACATCATAGTTTGTATATGTTCATCAAACACTTTCATTTAAGAAAAAAATTGATGCACACACTTTTTCCAGTTCTAAACTGTATTACTTAGAATTTTATGACCTGTGAATATACATTTAATTTAATAAGCTTTACCAATTTTATAATATTCATTCCTTCAACAACAACAAAAAAAAAAATTTTTGCATAAATTTCATGTGACTCTGCAACTAAATCATGATATATGATTAGGTGAACTGTAAACACTTCATTGTATTACATCTGCCTAGCTGTAAGAGACTAAAGCTAACAATAATCAACATGATTTAGAAAAGTTCAAGTGAATATGAACTTATTGCTTACCTTCCATTGAAAATACACTCGTATCAGTGGTATTAATGTCATCTCCAAGAAGTGTGCTTGAACCAGGTGTGTAAAGAGCTTCTGTATTCATAGAGCACAAATCCAATTCTTTCCATAATGTTGATTTCCAATCTGGGTTTTTCAGTTTAACATTCAATACACAGTTGCTTACCTATCGAATAAAATGTCAAATGTTTAATTCCAATAACAACTTATAACAATTATAAATGATTTCATTAAAAAATAGTTTTTCATAAAATTTTTTTATAATAATTCATGTAATTATATGGTAGTCAGCATAGATATGAGAAATAATATAAAGAATTTAATTTCCTAATATATTCTCACAGAAAATAAAGTTTCAATACCATAAATGGGTATTTCAATTTACTCAACATTAAAAATACAGTTGGATTAGAGTAAATTATCATGCATGCAGATAAATACATGCACAGGCTCCAAAAAAAAGGGAGTGAATCAACAGTAATCACAACTCATATTAATACACTGTATATCCTCCTTGAGGATTACCAAAGGCCTGTAATCTTTCATGTATACAAGAAAAATACAATGTCTAATAAAAAGAATACTTTCTAAGTTTATGTCACTTACACAAACAACATTCACTTGCATGAAGGCAGAACCTGCTCTCATCATTGAACACTACAGTGTGCCATTTGATCTTCCAGGTGACTCCTTTTATAAAACCACCAAAAGAACATTCATGAACAATATATTTGTCTTAAGTAGAAATCTGGCTAGACATATATTGGCCCTTAGTCTTGTTACATATAAATAATTCCTAATAGTCTTTTTGACACTTCTGGGGCTGTGTATAGGTATGATCAATGTTAGGGACAATATACAACTTACCACAGCTGCCTTTACAATACATCAATCTTGTTGGATATCTGTACTATATGGTCATTCAGAACCTGATCTATTGACATAAGAATGTTCATTTGACTTCTGTTGCCAACATCAAAGTACTACAACCATGTTACATCCGACAAGTACAGCAATTATAGAAAATACATTATTGTCTCTCAAAGACCCCCAATCTGACCCCCTCAAATGGTTCTAACTGAACAGAATGAGCACACATCACTAGCTTGCAATGGACTATCTTGCCAGGCTGAAACTTACTGTAGTAGGTGTCTTCACCTAAAGCGCAGACACAGATGGTGCACTTCTATGAGTGTTACTATATCATAAGATAAGCAAAAACTGAATATTTTACCAGAAAATATTTACTATCTCCTAGCATACTCATACTTTATCCAAACTGTAGAGTGAGTGGCCATGGTTAAATGACAGCATTTGTCCAACAAACAGAATTGACAAAGTTTGCAATAAGCAATAACAGGAAAAAGAAAAGAAAAGGGCAAAAAATTATATAAAACAAGCAAACAATATATGCAACGCAATGCAACAGTAATATGGCAAAAAGTTCACAAATTAAGAATTGGGGTTGACACACAGGACCAAGTTCAGATAAGCAAAGGTAGTGTTCTGATTTCAAGACAAGACAGACTGGGTCAGATGAAACTGAAAACCAACCTATTTTATTGTCTAGGAAGAAATCCCAGTATGTATTTGGGTGCTTCTACCTATAAAATGGAGAGGGGGGGGGAATGTTTTGTAGTCATTCCTAATAGGGATTGCAACCAAAACAAGCCAAAATTGGTGTCATCCTTCAGGGTATTACAAATATTTCATTTAAAATATGCTTAATTAATGAATTAATATCAAGTTTAAAAATTAAATTATACATTAATGACGAAGTAGACAGACGTTTTAACTCAGCTGTATATAAGTCTTTATCAGGTTTTTGTAATTTTGATTAAAAACTGAAATTGAGAAGAATTATATTCAATTATTTTTGCATTCATGATTTGAAAGGAGAATTAAAGAAATACAAAAGTAACTTGAAAAATCTATGCTGAGAAAATGTAAAAGAAATTCAGCTTAACAATATTATTTCGTGTTTATCAGATTCCCGGGGAGCGAAATTATTTTTTTTTTTGTTATTGATTTTATTTAGTTCATTCTCAGGCCTTTAAATTAAATTTTGTTCATTAACTGTACAATTAAAGGTTGGAAAATGAACAGGTTGAAATACTGTAAAGGAAAAATAAAACAACAAAGTTTAAAAATTTTTTAAATATTAACTAATCTTGAAATATTGTACAAAAGAAAGTTCCTTGAAACTGCAAAACAATGCTAATACTTCCCAAAAAGCTGAATGTAAATTCATTAGAGCGCAATCTGTTGTAAATTGAACATTTTTTTTAGTCTGAACGACATCTTCTATGTGCTGTGTCCCTTCAGGACATTGGTGATGATGGCTCTCCACAATTGCCTGTCTTTTGTAGATTTAAGTAAATTTTGTCTTTTTGCTATCTCTCCTAAACTTTTGCCATCCATTTACACAAGCTCATTTGGTAGGTTATGTGCTGTTTTCCTCTGTCCAACTTGCCTTTCATATGTCCTGTGAGTGTAAAATTTCCAAGCTTCTTTCCTCATTATGTGCCCTAGAAATTTCAACTATTTCTGAAGTGCAAGTGTCCTTTTGTTTCCATTTTCTCTAAAACTGTTGTTGCTCATATGTTCAGTCCATGGTATAGCAGCATCATTTTGTAGAACCACATTTTTATCACCTCAAATTTCTTCATCTGTGCAGAAATTTTCCAGCATTCACTGCCATATAGGAGGACTGATATTAAGCAACAAATCAGTATTCTTTTCTTTCTTTCTAACAAAATTTTCCTGTTTCCTAATACTTTATTTAGCTTTTGTAAGGCATTTTTAACTATCCCAATATCAAGGACACTTTAATAAGTTGCCAAAGTTTGGTCTACTATAGATATTGTTAAACTTGATAACAAGTGGAGTTGTTTTTCTGGCTAAAATATCAGCATAAGATGCAGCTTGAAACATAATAACAAGTTTATTACAATATTACATGGTTTCATATTTCATTGACACCAGAAGCAGAAAACTATTGAAGAATTTTATAGACTTAGAATTATGTCAACTATAATAATTAGATCTCTTAACTCAAAATTAACTGACTTTACAATTCATCAATTTTGCTATGTATAAAAGAAAATTTAAAAAAAATATTCAGATTATTAGCTTAAAATATTAATTGCATTTTTTAAATATTTGAGCTCAAGTCATTGGGACTTAGAAAACAGTTTTTGTTAATTTATAATAACAAAAGAAATTCACATTGCTTAATAAGCAAAATATATTTTTATGGTATTCTAATGAAAAGCCTAGAAATAATGAAAATATTGGTGATGCTTTACAGTGATAACCAACTAAGTATAATGAAATCATTAATGCTTTACTAATATTAGCTATAAAATTCACTAAGTTTTTATTTTAGCATCTTCATATTGGTTCTAATATCTTTTGCTATCAAGTTGTCTAATTATGAGCCTCTCCCTGTATAAAGAATGATAGTTATGAACAAGCAATGAGGCAGGGTGGGGGGGATATGCTATCATCCATCATCATGGTTAACCAAAATAGGAGGAGCAGAAAAGAGCAAAATATTTGAAAATAACATTAAAAACTATTTTTTTAAAAATTATTGTGTTTAGGATAAACTGCAGAATTAAATCTTCAAACTTACTGTAATCTTGTCCTTTTTAACTGATTCTAAAGAACTTTGACCATGTTTGTAAATGAGCCACATGTCTTCTTCAACAAATCTGAAAATTAAACATTAAAAACAATAAAACCTACTTCATTTTAATATATAAATTTATCAATCTAAATTTAAAAAATAAAATAAAATAAAAATGTAAATAAGATAGCATGTACACTCCATGTAATAATTATAAAAAGATGGATAATTAAAAAAAAAAAAAATTTAGTGGAACTTTTTATAAAATTGATCCAGATTTTAAAAAAAGTTTTTTTGTATGGTTGTAAATTTTTCTTTTTATTTTACTTTTTGGAGACTGCATTTTTATAATATGGAAAAAAAGAAAAACAAACTTATGTTCAATAAGTTAGTATTTTTTATGGCTGCACTTTTCAGCTCTAAAATCAAACAGCATGATCTGTTATTGAGTTTAACAATCTAGCGAATGTAGACAGAGGGATTTTTTCCCCAAATGCACCAATGATAGTCTATTTTAGTTTCTCAGTAGAGGAATATTTGGTATTGCCTGTAGTAGACATCTCTTTCCATCATTCTTCAAATGTTCTCTATGTTAGTGAGATTTAGAAACAAATCAGGCGACTTCATTACTAATGAAAAGTAATCACTGAGGTATGAAATGGTTTCTGTCTGAATTTTTTTCAATGAGGAGTTATCATTTACATTATTTAAATGTGGACTATTGTCCTCATCTGCATTGTTATTATCATTTGTGAGAGTACCAAACAGTTATCTTTGCAGAATAAAAACTCTCCTTGATTTGTTAAAAAAAAAAAAAGTTTCCTTTATTTAGTGTAGCTTTGATATCAAGCTATCTTCTTGCATTTTGAGTGCTGTCATTATATTCTTCTGAGTCATACTACAACAAGAAATCAATGATTACTTTTCATTTCTGGACAAAGTTTATTTAGGCTAAAAGGACTTTTTTAAAATACAAATTAAACATTTATACTAATGGTAATAAAAGTGATTGTTTTCACTGAATTCCAATAATTTATCAGAAAATCTATTGTTTTATAGAATCAATTTCTCTAGAATCAATTTAAATTCCAGTTTTAAATTTTATTTATTCTCCTTAATTTGTACTTTACAGTGTTTATTGCAAACATTGCTTGAAAGATACAATGTCTAATAAAAAGAGCCAGTCCTATTGTATAGATCAGTAACTTGGACGTTATCTGCTTGTCTTGAAAGATGACTAGATGGAACATATACAAATCTACTTAGAAAAATCCAGAACATCAGTTGGAGATCCCATACAACACAATTTACAGAGAACCGAGTCCAATCTCTTAAGCTCAAAGAAAAACAATTACAGTTTGCCAGCCATTGCCACCAAGCAGGCAGGGAAATCGTCTCATCCTTACTCCTCTGACATCCTGCTGGAAGTGTCTTCTCACAAAAATTAACCTTCCCCCAAAACCATAGCTTGGGACTATTAGACATTATTATTGGACATTAGAGATTCGGGGACAACAGTGCAGGACCAAACTGTGGAAAAGGATTGTCAATAGAGTCTCAACTAACCATAGGGAGGTTAAAGGATGATGAATAAAAAGAAACTATAAACATTATGTATTAGTGAACTAAACTTCACTGATATTTGATCAGAACAATCAATGAATATCATTAACTGATAATAGATCCATACAACAGTGTCAGTAATAAACAAGACAAGAGAATACTTAGTGCACAGAATAGACTATGGACTAATATAGGATATAAAATCTCAATATGGAATTTTCCTTATCACTCACAATAATATTATAAAAATCATTTTATTGTAATCAGTTCAGTATGTGTATTGAAGATAACTCCAAAACTTTATTCATTTTTGGCTAGCTTTAAGCAATATTGTTAATCAGAGAAAAGTAGTAACCTGTGAGAACACCTGAACTTAATTCCGTATTCTGGGGCCTTTGATAATGACTAAAGCAATTCAACCATGGAGGTTAAGCAAGACTCATATCTACAGTTATATAGCTACTTCTAGTTGAAAATGAATTATAAAAATAATTGACATATTTAAAAGAGACACATATAGGTTTCATAACAAGATGTTAAATTCTTCTCTTGATAAATACTTTAACTATTTACTTTTGAGAGAGAAAGAGAGTAAGATTTTTATTTGAAACATATAAATTACATTGTACTTCCTTGCTTGCTATTATTGAGAAAAAAAAAAAATTATTAAATATATTTCATAAAAATTAGCATCAAATTTTGTATCCATTTTTAAAACATGTCAAGTGTTTTTAGTATTTTATATGTGAATGCAAATAAAGTAGTGATAAATGTATTTATGCTTTAACAAAACTGCAAAACTACAGATTCTTTACATAGCAGAGTTGGAATCACCATTTAGCTACTAATTACAACTATCAGCAAATTGAATAAATTTATTAGCTTCTGATAATGATATGAAACTAAAATTAAAAAAAAAAATCAAACTGAACAAAGAATGATGAGGACAAAGTGAAGCTATAATTTGGTCTTATCAATATAAATCACTTTCTTTATTGAAATTTTTTTTACATATACAATGAAGATATGGATGCACAACAATCAAGTTCAACAGAATAATTTGAATTTCAAAGAAAACTGTACCATATATCAAACACTTACCTTATTAGCAGAATCTCTCCACATTCACTGAATACCTGAACAATCTCATCAACAAGGGCTTCATTAAATGTTTGGCCATTCTCTAAACTAATGATGACAGTAGCATCAGGTGGACCTTGTTCAATAACAACATCTTCCAGCACTTTCTTCTTTTTTTCTTCATTTACTTTCTGATAGTCCAACTCAAACAATGCAATAACAGGCCTGAAATAGACAGCCATACACAAACTTTAGAATATTTTTTAAAATAGTTTGTGATTTACTTATCAATTTGTAACTTTCATCAATGATTTAATTACAAATTTAAATTAAAGCTATTTGGTAAAATTTTAAATATCTTCCATTTTAGAAACAAAACAGAACAGGTTTACATTATTTTGCAGATAATTTCAAGGATAAAGCATAAAAAAATCCCACTAACCTATATCTTTCTGGTCAACTTAAACAGACATGTTCTTTTTCTATATATGGCAACTATTTTGCTTAAAATTCCCAATTTCTTGATTTCAGATGAAAACATGGAAATTTCACAACATATTTCAGTAAAATTTTCACTTCCAAAGCATCAGTTTAGATTTATGGCAAGAGATATGAGTTTAAATTCCCAATTTCCTAGATAACTCACCACACTATTTATGCAAAAATTCAAGTCCTTAATTGTTATTTGTCTAAATTGACAAATTTTCTCCTCTCAACCCACAAAAGCAATCATCATAATCCTTTGAAATGACTTTTCCATAGTCTTCCATGCAATAAGATTAAGTATAACTGGCAAACCTCTGCACCCACCTGCTATCCACTGCCCAGGACAGGTGTCAGGATTTGACAGATGATTGATTCTAAGGGGAAAGATTCCCTAGCTAAAAGTTGTTTTCTTTTATTCAAAGTGAGACTCTCGTTCAAAGTGAGGAGTCCGTTATTCACTATTATAAAGATGAGAATCCAAAGTAATGAGGGCATTAATGAACATGATGGAATGTGAAGTTGAGTGGAATTCTGATCTGCCACTTTGGATCAAATTTAATTAATGTACATGGCAGCCAGGAATAAGATAAATGAAAGCAAATATAATTCTATCAGAATTAATTATCTCAAAGAATGCTTACACAGTCAGCAAGATGAAAAATGAGAAAGAAAAGCCATCAAAGATTTTACCTATGGTCAGATGTCCTCAACTCCACACGACTGTACAGAATTTGTTTCACCGGAACATAATAGGGATCATCAACACCTCCAAACGAGAAAAAAAAAAAAAAAAAATGACAGTTTAGAGATACAATTAAGTTCATAAACATAAGGCAAGAGTTTTCAACAATAATCCTTACATAATAAGATATTTAAAAAAAAAAAAAATAAATAAATAAAATAGGAATAATAAAATTTATGAAATTCAATACAATTCACCATTATAATTGTAGCAATGCATAAAGTAAAATTAGAAAAATATTTAAATGCTAGAATTCATAAATAAAATGTAAATACTTTAATTAGATTTGTGCAGATCATAAAATTATTAAATCATTACTTTTATCATATTAAATATTATCAAATCATTACTTTTTATCATATTATTTCTATAAATAGATAGATTTGAGTTCTTTGCTTTGACAAATATGCAAGTTTCTTATAAATATTCAAACTCATAGTTAAGTCCAGCATGATAACAATGTAAAGAATATTTACTGAACAAATTTAAATTTCTTCTCATCTATGAAATTATGGACAAAACAGGAAGATTGTTTATTAAAAAACAATCTATATTTATCCAGAAATTATGGTACTGCTTAACAGATGAAAATTACTTAATACACAGGATTTTTAAAAACTTTACATAATTTTGCATCTTCCCAACCAAAAACAACAAGTTTCAAGAGTTGATTGAAGTTAGTATTGATATATAATAAATGTTGTTTAGTATAGTAAATGTGAAATTCTTATTCATGCTATATAAGTTAAACATTTTGCCTTACATGAATTGTTGCAATACAAAGAAATTTAATGGATAAATGCATACATTTAAGTGTTATCAAATTAAATATATTACATAATTTTAAATTATTATTACATCAAGTCCTCGACACATTTTACAGCTTCTTCTGATCTGTAGAAAAAGCAGTAATGTTATTAGTCACAAAATGAATGGCAAAGCTTTTTCTATGGATCAAAAAAGGCTGTGAAATACCTTTTGGAAATATTCAGATTGTTCAATATTTTTTAATTACTTTAGTTTACCCAATATGAGGCCCAAGGACAACTCAAAGTAGATGGTTACTGAGTGAAATTTTTGTAAGAGAAGGGAAAGGAGGAATGAAGAAGGATATGTAAGATAGATATCAGTTGACCTTGGACAAAGTTAAAATTGTAGTGGTTAGGGAAGCATCCACAAAATAAAATTTTTGAGAAGGAAGATGTCCTAGTGAGTTGTTTTACATTTTGTGGGGTTGGTCTTGGAAATTAATCAAACAGAAAAAAAAGGATTATTTTCAACAGTAAATCAACTTGAATTCAAATGTGATTTTACCAGTTTTAGTAAGAAACTTCCTTTTTCTCCATAACACACGATCAGTCCAAGCAGGAGATCTACATTTCTCACTTGTGTCATAATCATCACTAAAGTTGTCATATTTGTATGTTGGAGCAAAATTAGTTTGGCCTTCTTCAAAACCACGAAACACCTAAAAGGAACAGTTGAAAGTTTAATTAAAATCAACAATGTAATCAATATTAAAAAATAAATGATAATTCTAATAAATTACATATGGTCTTTTCTATAAATTTAAATGATTTTTCAGTTAAGATTACTTTTTACTTTAAAATATGAAAGATGTTCAAGCCATCAAAATGATGAACAGATATGTAGCTGTTAATAAAAAGCAGAAATAGTGGTATTGATTAAGAAATGCAAATTTTATTTGTTCATTATAAATATAGTTAACAGCCAAAAATAAATTTAAAAATTTATATAATTCTTTAATTAGCCTCATTGCCATATTTTATCCAAATTTGCTAAACCATTTTTGGTTTGGTTGTTTTACCAGCATATCAACCCTCTTGGTCATTTAATGCTGAACATTGGATTTTTATTCAATAATATTTTAGGAAAACTTTTTTAAGTTAAAAAAAAAATTTAAATGAAGAATTTTCACTATAATTTTATTGTGAGTTTTACAACAACAATAAGATAGAGTAAAACTAGCTAAAAAAGAAAAAAAAAACATTAGTGTTTATGATTTATTTTCAAACAAATACACACCTAAGACTGATTATGTTTTTCTTGTGCTATACTAGTAAGCAAATTAAAAAAAAAAAAACATTTTTTTTTACCTTATTTAAAAGATAATTTATTGTGGCTCAAGTATACAAAAAACCATCAGACTTTGGCAATAATAATTTGTGCTTTTTTAATAAAGTGATTACAAATACAGCTGAAGTTGGTGAATAAACAAAAACAAAGAAAATAAATCTAGTACCCCTTACATTGCCAGCTTTCATCTGTACCGAGAGTTGGTCAGCAGCTTGTAGTGCTGTCCAGTTGTGATTTCGAACTAATTCTTTTACTTCATCCCGATGAAGATCTATGCGGTAATTGAAATCACCTACCCAGAATATATAGTCATGGGACCCTACAGTTTTGCTCTGTAAAAAATAAATAAATAAAAAAAACACTAAGAAAATAGGGTTATAGACAATTTCAGATTCCCTTAAAAAGCAAGCAGCAAGGACCCAAATAGGTAGAAAAATTATTCAATATGAATGGCTGGCCACTTGTATTTAAGTATGCCATTATAGACAATAAAGATTTGACAAATGCTGACAAAAGTTTTGAAGAAATTAAAGTGATATTCTACAAATAGCAAATAACACATACAAAAAAAACATTCAAAGGCTTACCTGGAATGAAATTTTCTTCATTATTTCATGGAAATCATTATTTCGTTCATTCACCTGAGACTGACCAGCAGCAAAATGGGCACAGATAAAGCAAAAAGATGTGGCATGGAACAAGAAGCGAATGGCCACAGCACCTTTGTTGCCAGTAGCACCACCCAACCCAGTTTTAACAGAATCAATGGCGACATCTCTGAAATCAGCAATAAAAATTATGACAATGATACAAAATTGCATGTTGAAAGAGAATGTAGAGGAGGGAAGGGTGTGTGGGCTCAGACCTTTCTCAATTTACCATAAATGAGCACTTAAATTTAATCAGAATTAATGAAAAATTCAATCATTAACCAACTAAATGCAGCAGAAGCTCATCCCACTCACAGGTGAGTCACAGGTACTGTAATGATGAAAATTACTGTCATTTGTAGTTAATGGATTAAACTTTTAGTGAGGTTCAAACTCACTTTCTCAAGAACCACTTATGCTTTTTCAGTTCCCATAAAGTCAATTACACTTGTTTTCAATATATAGAAAAATGGCCCAAATTATGTTTAAACAACTCTTTTGTATTGTTCATTTTGTTAATACATTTTAACCAATTCATTCTTCAGCCTTCTTCAAGTATATAAAGAAAAATGGTGATGTGATACAATGGAACCTGGTTGTAATCAGGATACTCAAGTTAGAAGTGGACAGTAAATGATTTTATCTGAAACTGAAGTGTCCAGTGTTATGACTACATAGATAACAAAATCTAAAAAGTAAACTCTTCAAAGCAGCCACTCACTTGCCAAAAAGCAATAAAACAAACAAATAAATGAAAACTTTCAGGAGCAATGACACTTAACTGAAAGCTAGACATTTCCAGGCTTATATGAACAGTCACAGTTAGAAATGAAGGCAGTTCTAATACAATTTATTGGTTGGGTACAGGCTGTCTGTCAGAAAGTTTGGATGTTGCCTGTTAGAGAGTAGTTTCAAAAATGAGTTGCAAAAAATAGGCAGAGGAGTGGCAGGAAAGAGTTGGAATTCTTGTTAGTTGAAGGAAAAAGCTGATCTGTTAGTCATAAAAGAAATAATGGAAGTTGTGCCAAGAGTCACCTACTTACCTACCAACCCAGACTATGCAAGTGAATCCCTGAATAAATAACCAAATATATTGGAAACAGGATTTGTGTTTTCATTTCTCATGGTGGCGTTAACTTCACCTTTTTCTTGTAAAGATATAATTTTCCCAGTGTTTGCACACACCAATGCAAAATGAATAAAGACACAGCATGGGGGTTATTTGTCAAGTCAGTGAGATAGAGGTCCCCATTATAGGATTACAATGGCAAATAAATAAAATGTGCCAGAAAATTTCCTCTGTATAATTTAGAATCACCTGGTTAGATGCATGGCAATATGGTTTTATTTGTATCTAGCAATGTTCAATTGGATTGAACCAGTTGGCATGTTATTTTTTAACAGACTATATACGTAATGAAGGCTGAAAAATACTTTGACCAAAATGTTATGTAAACAAAATCAAGAACACAAAGACAAGGTTCAATTGCCCAAACAAAATTTGGAATGTTAACTCTTCGTTTTACATACAATATATCAGATAAATTAAAATAATTGAAATTATTTTGAATTGAAACTTACCTGATAAAGGGTGCCAAACTTGGCCGTATAAATAGATTTAAGCAAACTCCTACGAGTTGAACTGTTGCTAATGGAATGTATTTGTGTTCTCGTGAGATTGTCTTTTGGATTTCATTTTGCCATTCACGAGAATTTTCAGTACTGTTAAGATGAAAACAAGTTGTGACAGGTTTATTTTGGTACATTGACATCTATAGGGAGATTTCACTGCATCAAACTCAACTTTTTATGTTTGTCAATATATTATACATATAAAAAAAAAATTTAAGAATGTGTAATGGTGAAAGCTTAGAGAATGGAATTGGCAGAGTTCAAACTCCAGCTTTGCATTGGGAACACTTCAATTCTGTAAGACAAATCATTTTGGATATCAAGCTACCAATCTGGTTTTGTAAAAATTAACTGAAACTAAAGCAGCATCACCAGGTTAGGTTGCATTTCGATGGTTCACAAGAACTTTGTAGAAAGAATTAAAAAATTATCTATCAGACAAAATAAATATACATAAATGTATAATTTGAAATAATTATCCACTTAGTTTAAATAATGATTACACTTTAATTTTTTTTTAAATTAATAAAACATGCATAATTCATAATAAAAAAGATGTTTGTAATTCCTGGTATAAACATTTATTTTTTTGTTAAAATTAGTTGGAATCTGGTAACAAGTTGATGTTCTAAGTAAGAATGAAAGTGGAGAATATAGAGTGATGAAGCAGCTACATCAAACAGAATAGAAAATATTCCAGTCTTTTAAAAGAGCTGAACTTACCTGGCTCTTACAATATTGCTAGCATTAAGATCAACTATTTCCTCAAACCCAATAGCAAAGATATCAGGAGGAATACCATAATCAGCATCAGCATCAAGAGAATCTGTTTACATGAGAAAAAGAAAAATCAATAGCATTCATTGCACTTAATGTTGTCCATTTAAATAAGGATTAGATTGAAAAATATTTTTAAGTCTTTTTGGATTATTTTAAAATATTTATCAATATGGAAAATAAATTTCTATTACAACCATGACTTTCTGAATCCAAAAAATAAACTATATATTTGCAAAAAAAAAAAATTTTTTTTTTGTTCCTTTCATTAAAATTTTTAATCTGTACTGTTAGAATATGCTTCCCTTTTAATATTAACAGGACTTTTTTTTGGATTACATAAAAGTCAATTACATTAAGTCTGTAAGGTTCATACTTCATTTTAAAAGATTCTTTATATCATATCCAAGAAATTTTAAAATTATACATACTCTTGAAATTAATTGAACAATAAATTGAATATTGTCAGTTCTCTTTAATTATGAATTTGCAGTTTTACTTTCAAACCAGGACATCCTTGTTTTATTTTTTCCATATACATATTTATTGATTAGAGCCAAATATTTTTGGTACTGAGAGAACCCACAAACACTTACAGAAAATAAAATTGCAAAGCCCTGAATAGGCATTTCAATTTATTCAAAATTAAACGTACAATATATCTGGAAAATAGTCAATGACCATATATACATATCAATAGATGCACAAGTTGTAAAATAAGGAGCCTATAAATAAACTCATATCCCATAATGCTCTGTGTTAAAGATTAAGACGAAAAAACAACAAAATATTAACAAGAACATACTTCCATGTTCACAGTGGCATGCATGTACCAGGTAGTTGTCAAAAAAAAAAAAAAACTGAGAAAATTTCTCACCCATTTATTTATTCTAAGATGGAGATTCTATTTGGAGAGAAATGGAGGCAACTCTTGAATTTAGAATGTGCCACAATACAAATTTAATGTTCTGTAGATTCTACTTCAATGATAATACAAACATGTACTCTTGCATGTATATGATTGTACAAATATATTTACAAAAGTATAAAATTTATTAGTGCGATAAAACAGATATGTTAAAAGCAGAAAATTTATAATGAATTAGGTGGGGGATGATACCAAAAATATTATCATAAAATAATAATATTATAAATACAACATGATTGACAAAAAACACAGCTAAATTGATTTATTGGTCCTCTCACATCAGAGCAAAAATCGAAAACAAAAAATGCAAACAACTAAAAGTGAAAACCCAAGACCAAATAATATTTAAAAAGAAAATATAAGACTTACAGACTAACTACCTTTGAGCTAACCAACCACTTTTGCCTGCAGAGAGATGGCTGGAGAGACATAATATAAACAGATTCCAACACTTTCAATTGAAACTCAGAATTAACCTTACTCAGCACTGAGAACATGTCTTGGCTATAAGACTGTGCACATTATTAGTCTTTTTTATCAAATGTTAAGATAAAAAAACAACAACAATGTACCTGGTCTTATAATATCACTTCAAGTAGACCAGGTTGCTAACACATTGTTTTTTATTTTATGCTAGCTTTCTTTGGATAATTTTCTCTCTTAACAATATAAAAAGCAAAAAATCTTAATCGCAGAAATAAAATTGCAGATGAATCATGGAGAATATAAAATGACCAATACAATTTGAAAATTGTTTTAATATTACTGTCATTTGTTGACAATATAAGTAAATGAGTATGTAAATATTTACTCTTAGATACCTAATATAAGGAGTGGGGCATGTTAATAATGAAAAGTTGGAATTTCTCTCAATATGCAATAAACAGGGATGGTTAATAAAAGGGAGATCAAAAAACCTAAATAAAAATAATTAAATATATTTGGCATTTAATAGTATACATGCACTAATTTTAAGCTAGAAGTCTATTTCTTCAAGATGAAGAACTATAATCCCTTGAACAAAAATGGATAAAGAAAGGAAAGAATAATATTGGAAAATATAGGCTCCAAGTTACAGTTGTATCAGTGTTATCCTTATAAGTCATGATGGGAAATTGATAACTCACTTGGAAATAATTCCTGGCAACATTTATGGGCATCAAGTAACCAGTCAGAAAGTTTTTCTTTCTTAAAGGCAATACTTCGGAAATGGGTGCCTCCGTTGACATTCCATGTACCACAACAGATACGAATATTACCAAGTTCAGTATATTCTCTGTGACGTGCAACCATCTCTCTTAGGATGCCTTCTGGAGCTGAGAGAGAGAGATGGACATGTTAAAAAAATATATAAATTCCATAGACAGATATATGAAGGGAAGAAAAAAAATGACAATTTACAGTTCTGTCAGCTTTGATTGATTGGCTTTTTTACAGCTTATCAACCCTTTGTAGGTTATTTAAAACTGAAATATTTTGAATTGCAAGAATATTTTTTTTTAATTTTTTATTTTGAGTGAATATTGCATTAACAACTTTTTGTAATCTATCATATGTACATAATGCAAGTAATAACAGAAAGACTTCAATGTAGAATAATAAAGTATTTAATTACCAAACACTATTAAAATGCATTAACAACAAAGAAGTAAAGAGTCAATGGAAAGATTATCGATTACTTGTCAGTTAATACATGACTGCATAGAGCTACTAAGAAAAGTACTAATTCATTTTTAAACATGGGACACTTGACTAACTCCTGGCTTAACACAATAGGCAACATGTAAATTGTAACCACCCCAGTCAGTGGCATGATATCTAGTTATAGTAAAAGGGGGTCTACATTTTCATTGTCTAGAGATTCATGTTCAAACTCTGGTGTCAGCATTGACACGTCATTCATATATGACAATTTTTTAAGAATAATGATTTTCCAGATACAAGTCCTACTATTTAACCCATAGCTGAGGCAAGAAGTGATGGATTCATTCCTTTACCATGTATATTTGCACGTAAGTGAATGTAATGAACCTGATTGGAATTCAAACTCAGCTGTCCAATTCCTCATTCCAAGCGACTATTACACCACTAACACTTTTCAGGTTTTAAGAATAGTTAATGTTTTTGACATTCTTAGAATGTCATCGAATTACGTCATTGCAAGTGAAAGAAAACACAAGTTCATCTAATAAAAATGACAGCAAAAGGCTTTATATTATTACAGGTTCACTATAATGTTTCAATTTACTTTATTTCTTTTTGACACCCAAGATTCCAGATGGTGATTTTAACCAAATGTTTTATTCCAATATAAATATTTTAATTATTATTAATTTAAAATTAATATTTCATTCACCTAAACTTCAGCTGCTTTTTATCACAACTATTCACATCATCAGTCTATAGTTATAAGTAAACAGCATAGCTTGGAAATGAAGAATTTCTTAAAGTGTGACGGTTACACACCTGGCCCAGTGTCGGATCCTTTGGTTACGGCGCCAACGGTGACGTCGCTCCTCCTGGTCGCTCCTCCCGGGTCCCAAGCGTGCCGCTCCAACCCTTTGGTCAGATGATCACCAGCCTCGCCTTTCCCGACTATGCTTCCAATACCTGGTCACTAAAAGCAACTATACCGATCTCGGTCTGTCTACCCACGCTGTGTTTAGATCTTAGACAGACGGGACCATTATCATATGTAATATGGGATTTTTGGCAGGACGAGCGAGGAGGGTTCATGCGCAATGATCTGAAGAAGGCTGAAATAGCTAACCTGGAAATGAGCGAGCCGAGGGCCTAAGAAGACAAGGAAAAGGAAGGTAACTCTGGTTGAACCGGAAGAAATGGAGACGGAGGAAGACTCCGAGGAAGATGAGGAGATAGGTCGACTTGACCAGATAAACGAAGCAGTCCGAGTGGCGGAGTTGGAACCCTCAAGCGGGGATTAGCGATGTTCAGTCGTCGACTGAATCAGTGCAGAGAAGACCCTATGGAATCTACCATCGCACCCCATGTCCGAAAAAAGGAAGAAAAAGGCGAAGAGGTCCAAACAAGCAGTGAAGGCTTTAAAAGAGGCACCCTGAACAGGACGAAGGGTCCAGCGAGTGGGAGGAGGAGGATCGAATACCCCTTTCCCAGCTTAAGGAAAGGATAAGGAACAAGAAAAGTTTACACATAGAGTCGAGATGTATCGAAGACATTCAAAGCGAAGACTCTAAACAGGAAGAAGAATCAGGGGATGAAAAAGAGGGACAAAAAAACCTCCTGGACGGGAGTTAAACACAGAAAGAAGGTTAGAGGTTGAACAGGAATCACCTCAGAAGATGAGATCAGGGAGGAGAAGAACCCCAAATCTCAGTAGAACAAAAGGGCTGTGCAGAATAGGAGCATTTAGTGTCGAGCAGATAGCGACACTGGCTCATCCAAAATCCTATTGGCTGACTATGGTAGATGTGAGTGGAGGGAATGGAAAATGGGCTGCACCTCACAAGGGACGGAAGAAGATCATTGGCATTGTTGATTGATCACCAGTGGTGTCATGAAGTACGACCTTTGGGGTGGTTGCCACGCACACCTGACCGGACCATTCTGTCTGCTAGAGGTTAGTTAGAGGAGGGAGGAGCGAACTAAGAAAAAAAGTTATGAGAAATGATTGAGTGATGAGAAAAGCGAGACTAAGTGGTTGTGAAGAATAACAACAAGAGAATTTGTTACCTTTCAGGAATGATAGCTAGGTACAAAGGTGGAAGCAGACTACATAGCATTAAAAAAGGGAGAACAAAATTCATGTTGCTATCAGCTGAAGAAGCTAGAAGGTGTAGAGATGATACCCTGGGGACTTGTACCTCGTTGAGCCCTATCTATAAAACTGGTAACCGCAAACTGTGCATACTAGAATTGTTTGAAGGAAGGGAGAAGGAATCAAAAAGAATCTGCCAAGTAGAGGTATTAACAAACTCGGCGTTACCACAAGCTATCAGTGTTTCAGACGGGGTGTGGGCAGTAGTCACCCAGAAACATATCAGCCTGTCTAGGGTAGAAGAAGTCCACAAGGACATTAAGAATAAGGCCACCGTTATCCTGGTGTCGCTACCCATGGGATGTTAAAAGGTTGGGGTGTCCATCTCCTTGCCCCCTATTACCAGATGGAAGAAAGGTATGAAGAAAAAGATTCATTTAAAAGAGATGATTGGTAGAGGCTTAGTCAATTGTACAGAATTATGGGAGCCGATAAAAAAGAGATTCTCTAATGTCACCTTAAATAAGATGCCAATTTTAATGAAGCCCATAGAAAAGATCGATATGGATCACTTAAGAGATAAGTTAAGTGCTGGGAGGCGAAGGTGTAGCTTGGGAAGGCGATGAGCAGATCGCGATAAATTGGTCAATAGTAATGGGTACATTCCTAGTTATAGCCATCGGGGGTGTAATAATATGGAAGATTAAGAGTAGGAGAAGATTAGCGAGCGACAGTCTAGTGAGCATGCAACAACTTTCGAGGGGAGATGCCGGCGGTGTTCCTCACTCAGACAGAAGACAAAAGAAGAAATTGCTGGAAGACCAATGGAGGAGGCTGGCGTGAGACCACCACGAAGCGGAAAAACCTCCCACAGCAGAGGAAAACATTGACCAAGAAGAACAAACCCTAAAGAACACATCTGCACCTACAGACACTGCACACATTTCATTGCATGTAGAACAAAAGAAAAATGAAAAGAACATTTCATTGCATGTAGAACAAAAGAAAATGAAAAGAACATTTCATTGCATGTAGAACAGAAAAAAATGAAAAGAACATTTCATTGCATGCAGGAAAAGAAGAAAAAAAAAAAAAAGAAAAAGAAGAAGAGAAAAAGAGTTGTATGATGCATGACCCAATTGAGAGGTGGAGATAGGAGTCAGAAAGAGATTTAGGTCAGCGTCTTGGCGATTTTCGAAAAGACAATTGGAAGAATAGAATTATAAATAATAAGAAAAAAAAGGGAAAAAAACATGATATCAAAGCGGACGCTGATGTAGACCAGATATCGTCAAAGCATCTGACCGACTTTTGCGTGGAGAGACTCCTTATCAATTTGGTTTAGAACAATAGAAATAAAATTTTTAATCAGAGAAAAGTGTTTTTGGGTTGAGGGGGGAGTTACGGTGGAAGCGATATACAGATCTTGACCTGTTAAGAATTGGACACCCACGTTAATAAAGTAGAGACATTTCAATGTAGATAATTAAGATTTTTCGACTATCAGGAAAAACAAAAAGAGGAAAAAAAGAGGGACAATTGCTTTTTTGGCTCACAGAGGGCGCCAAGAAAGGCGGAAAAAGATCCTTTCTAAAGTCAAGACTAATTAGCAGCGGGCTGTTTGACAAAGTCCAGGTGAGAGAAAGCCAAAGATTGTCATTTTGCGTACGTGCAAAAAAAAAAAAATTGGATTTTGTTTTTTTAAAACCAGCAAGGTAACCACACCCGCCAACAAAGGGAGAGGGTGTTGGTCAATAACAATTGGTCGAATACAATCACGTGATGCGGAAGAAGAAGGAAAAGAAAACCTCGATCAATAACTGTTGGACGAGGCGGTCACGGAAGGCTGCGGAAAGAAAAGAAAGAAAGGTTCGATCGGGAACGATTGGTTGAAGCGATCACCTGACATGAGGAGAGACTAAGAGAAATAGATATCGCCGCCCACCAAAGAGCTCTGTGAGAAAGTAGGGGTGAAAACAATAACGATAATGGAAAGTCAAAATTAATACGACTTTTGAAATTATCGAGAAACCCCTGACGCCGACAGACCCACCCCGGTTTGTTGCGGCGTCAATATAAGCAGGACCCCAGTCGGCAGAAATCAGTTGGAGAGCCTCGGATGAAGAAGGAGTTTGGCGGGCAGGGAAAGAGCCTGCGGGCCAGCTGGGCCCCTGCGGGCAAGAAAGGCAGATCCGTTTGGCCTAAGTGGAGAGATTGCAGTGTCGCGAACTGACAGCGGAGATGAGTGAACAATAATTCAGAAGCCCGAAGAAGAAGAAGTTTGAGTTGGAGATGCAGCAGAGTTGGGCTGAGTTGCAGCAGGAGGGCAGGGGAAGATCCTGAGCAGCGGACATAAGAACCGAAGCCCCTTTGAGGAAAAAGAACCCTCAGACAGAAGGACTTCCAGCCCAAGTCGAAGACAGAAGAACTTCCAGCCCAAGTAGATGAAGAAGAAGATTGCCTGAAAACCTGAGAAGAGTTGGAGCTGAAGTTGAGTTGAAGTTGGAGTTAGGTTGGGCGTGAGTTGCAGTTCACCCTCGGACGACAGAAGAATCCTCGAAGACGAAGAAATCCTTCCAGCCCAAGTTGAAGACAAGAAATCTTCCACCGAATCGAAGAAGAAATCTTCCACTGGGTTGAAACAAGAAATCTACCAGTCTAAACAGAAGAAGAAGAAGAAATACAACTCAAGTCGGAGAGAAGAATCAACTGCGAATGATCGATAGAAATTAGCCCCAGTGTCGAACTGAACCACACTCCGACATACATACATGATTCTAGAAAGTAGGTAATTCGACATTTTCCTATTGTGTGATAGAAGCTTGGTGCCATAGTCCACAGAGCGGGTCGGGAATTGAGAACAATTTTGTTTTTATGTAACGGACTTTAAGATATAAAAAGGTTGTTACCCTTTTTATCAACAATTTTGTTTGGTGTCGTGAGTTTTTATTTTATTTGTGTTTTGCCACCCCGTCGGACTCAACTTATATCGGCCCCGATCCCTGCTGGTCCCGTCTGTCTAAGATCTAAACACAGCGTGGGTGGACAGACCGGAGATCGGTATAGTTGCTTTAGTGACCAGGTATTGGAAGCGAGTTGGGAAAGGCGAGGCTGGTGATCATCTGACCAAAGGGTTGGGCGGCACGCTTGGACCCAGGAGGAGCGACCAGGAGGGCGACGTCACCGTTGGCGCCGTAACCAAAGGATCCGACACTGGGCCAGGTGTGTAACCGTCACAAAAGAAATAAGACTCAAAAATTAATAATAGTTGACAGTGCTTCATCCAAAATTAACAAAATTAAAGATAAACATGTTTTATTATTTTGCATCATGTTTGAGTATGATAAATTTTAATAGAATCTGATATTTTGTCTGAATCTTTGGGACAAGGAATTATAATTATTTACACTATTTGCATAAATGTTCTATTCGGAATTCCCTGTAAGTTACCCAATTTGATGAAGGCTAGCAGGCACAACAGACAAAAACAACAAAGATGAGGACAATCATTTGCATGTAAATAGTGTAAATAAGAATAGTGAAAAATATAAGAGAGTAGGCTCCATAAGCAATTCATTCTTACCATGAAGGCAACGGGATGTTAGTAAGGCTTTGGCTCGTTCCCTAAGTTCTCCAACCAGTGTTGAGCCAAGGAGAAATATATCAATGGCCTCTTGTTTGTTACTGTCTAAAAAGTTGTTTTGGATCGTACGTGTAGCTGAACGTGCTGCATCAGAATACTAAAAGAAAAAAATATAACAAGTAAAAATACATCAAATTTGAATTCTGTGACATGCATCCATTTCTCTAAATTGCAAAAAGACTATGTCAGTGACAAGAGAAAACACAAAAGTAGTAATTAAGGTAAGTAATCTATTAATTTTCGTTCTGTAATATGAGGTGGTAAAATGTAAATAATATATATCACACACACACACACACACACACACACACACACACAGATTGCATCAAAAATAATTTACAAACTTTAGGGGCAGGTTCCTTACACCAAAACAAGGAAAAAAGTCCATATAAACATGTATCCACAAATCCTTTGTTTTTGAGTTATTAAGTTTAAATAAAGTTTCTGGAAGATGGCACTGTGTTACCATTTAGACTAAGTTACATTTGTCATTCGTCTACATTTGTGGCTAGTCTGCCTTCCACATTTAACGTATGTAGTAGTGAGTTAACTGAGGAGTGCTCTGTTTAACGTTAGCAGGTTATTCATATTGCAAGCAGGGAGATATGATTTTTACAAAAGGATGTGCAAATGGTAATGGACATGAGACTTCACAGCTGTATCAGGCTGAAGGCATTTCATCCCCCTTTTTGCTGTTTATCATTTTTGTTCGTTTCTTATTTATTTGAAGTAAGACATATTTGATTATTTTAGAACACATTTGAGGAGATGATCCAGGTATATTTATATTTAAATTGTAAAAAGTACCACAAACTTTGGCATCCCATCATTTGCAAGTGTAGGTTAAATTTACATTGATTTGTCTCTTCAAAAAAGCAATTTTTACTTAATTTAAAAAAAGTACAATACAGGCTTAACATTTTTAAATTAAAGTTTAATTCATTTTTGGCATTTTTCCTCTTAAAGTTTGTTCAATTTTTTTGATTAAAGTTTAAAAATTATTTATTGATAAAATGCAAATCTTTTTGACCTTTGAGTAATTTTGTGTTATTTTAAGAAGAAAAACAAACGTTTTTAACAAATTTTGAACAGAATTTAACTTTTTAGTTTCTTCAAAGACGATAAAGGAAAACTACCTCAATCCTTTTTTTTATTATAAAATGAATAAAAAATTGTTTTTTTTTTTAAATTCAATTCAATTTGCAAAACCATTGACACCATTAATTTGATATTTATTTTTGATAATCATGCATGTGTAGAAGCAAGCAAAAAAACATTTGTTTAGTATGATGGCCTTTTGGAAAAAAACCATAACGTCAACGTTCTAAATTAAAGTTTAATTTTCTCAAGACTTTTTAACCATGATAAAAAATTAGCGAGAAATAAGTCAACATTTTTTTATTAAAAGTTTAAGTTTGAATAATAAATTTGAATAAATTTTTTTTAAATAAAGAAAGAATTTTTAACATTTTTTATTTTATTAAAATGTTTTTATCCATAAATCCATTTAAAAAGTAAAAAAAAAAAAAAAAAAAAAACAAACGAATTTCTTTTAACTTTTGTTTCCAAAAAAAGTTAAAGAATAAATGATTATTTTTTACATAAGTCAACATTTTTCTATTAAAAGTTTAAGTTTGAATAATAAATTTGAATAAAATTTTAATAAGAAAGTGTTATTTTTAAATATATCAGAAGGGTTTAAATGGAACTCGTCCCAAACAAATAAACAAAAATTTATTCAAAACATGCAGACATATATAGATTAAAAACAATACAAATTTATATACAATGGGTCATTTACAAATAAAATCTTTTTTTTGGTAAATGTATGTGTATTTTAGATAATGAATGTCTCTTGTTTCGTAATGTAATATTTTCTTGTTTATGTCGAAGATTTTTGAAATTTTAAAAAAGAGTTTTCTTAGTCTTAATTATTTTTTTATTCTTATCTTAAATGAATATAATTCATTATATATAAAAATCAAAAAGTTTCAAAAGACGTTAGATTTGAATGTTTTAGAGTCAGTAAATGTTATCAAAATTTGGTTAGAAATGTTAACGACCGATGAGTTAAGCGAGACTGACTGAATGGGGCTTTTTTATATTATTTTTAAAGGCTCAACTCGTTTTGGTGCAATTTCTGTTCATAAGCGATTGACCAATGGGGTTGCTTTTACGGCCATTTCTATTGGTTGAGTTTTTTTTATTTTTACGACGTGGACTATACTTTTTTTTTTTTGGGAAGGTGAGGATATTGGATTCCACAAAGGTTCATTAACATTTTTATTAAAACTTTTATCCAACATTTCCATTAAAAGTAAAAAACAAAAAACAAAACAAAAATTTCTTTGTGCTTTTGTTTCAAAAAAAAGAATAAATGATTATTTTTTTACATTTTACCAATTGGTGAACTGTAAGTATTTTTTAAATTTTAAAAAAAAAAAATTTAATAATAAAGTGTACATGCAGTTTTTATTTTATTTTAATTTTTTTAAGAAGAAAGGTTCTTTTTATGCCTTTCAAACAAAATTTATTTTCAAGACAAGAATAATAATACCATTTTATTTATCATATTTATGAAAATTTTTCTGATATTGTTGTTAAAGGACAAAATGCATTATTTTACTTTACTTTTATTTAATTGTTTTGCTTTAATCAAAAAAGTTATATAAATTCCTATTTATATACAAAAGAATTTAAAATAACCAAACTAAAGGAAAGGACTTATGAATGCATTTTAAATTTATTATAAAGTTTGAAAATAAAAAATGAATAATTAAATCAATTTTTTACCATCTTAAACCATGGAAAAAACTGCTACTAGTTCAGTCATTTATTTTATTTAACCAGTTGAAGGAACCCTTTTTTTTGCACATGGCCAGAATTGATGGATCGGAGGCATAGTCTCAAAAGATTGGAAAAAGCCCTATCCCCACTTCCCAATCTCCTTGTGAGGAGTTTTAGGAAAAAAAAAAAATTTCCTCTTTTATGTCTGAGGGAGTAATTTTTTTTTTGTATTTTTTTTTTTATGGCTGACCCTTTGGGAGAGAGCCAAGCAATAGTAACATTTAACAAGTACCAGAAATTTAAATACCAACTTCAAATTGAATTTTTTAATTTCTAGTTTAATGGCGTTAACTATTACTATTTTTGTTTGATTAAAAACAGTTTTATTGTTGATAATTAAACGATTAATAATATTTGCAAAACTGCAAACCTGACAGTATTCTTCAAAAAAAACCATACCCCCCACCATTTTTTTTTAAATTAAGAAGTGGATTCTCATTTTGAAGGCAACAACTCCTTTTTTTGGTTTTTAATTGTGTATTTATTTTACGTGGATAAAAAGCTGTAATTAAGAGTATAATTAATTTATATTTGAAAATTTACTCCTAAATTTTAGTAAAGAGAAATATTTGTTAAAGATGTTAAATCTACCATTTCAGATACTACTTAATTTTTAGCCATGCTTTTTTAATTGTTTTGCTTGCAAAACAAATTACAGAAAAAAAAAACTATATATATGAGATTAATAAAATACCAGTTTATTGTTTTAAAAAAACAAAACGAGAAAAAATGGATAAAATCAGTTCCAAATGCCAATCTAAATGTTACTAACAATACTGTTTTTTGTAAACAACATTGGCCTTCAAATTTTGATACCATAAAAGTTAATGGAAAAATACGTCCAAAAAATCCACCATCTGTATGGCCAGGTGTGCCAAGTAGTCAAATACCAACACCCCCAGCTGTTCAAAGGAATATAAAAAAAATCCTCCAGTACGGTTAGAAATCAAATTGCTGATGAACTTAATGCTTTTTTTTTAGAATTAGATATAATTAATTATACAAATTTGAAAGAAAGTCTGCTTAACAACAAAAAAAGACTTTATATGTCCGGTTGTAGCATTTTTGGATGAAAATATTTTAACTTTTCAATCATCAAAATCTATTGATGTTGAAAATTTATAACAATTTGCGCTTTGAAACATTTCATTATGGAGTTAAGTGTTATATTAGCAGCCTGTCCAAAAATCGTATAAATACAGTTGATACTTGGTCAAAACTGGAAGAAATCATCCAATATTTAAATTCTATGGCTTTTGATTACAAGAAAAATATCCTGAGTCAACAATTTTTAGCAATGGCTCCCAAAATGGTTGGAATAAAATACAGCTCAGATATAGTTATGTGTGCTTTTGGGTACTATGCAAGATCACGGACATTGTATAATGAATTAAGATATGATTTTCAATTACCCTCATTAGCAACATTATGAAGGATGACATCAAAAGTTTCAAAACTTAATGAAAAATCTTTTTTGTTATCTATATTTAATACTCTTAATACCAGTCAAAAAGGGTGCATAATTCTCCATGATGAAGTATATATCAAAAAGATGTTGCTATATCATGGCAAACAACTATTTGGTAAATCAGTTGACAATCCATCTGTACTTGCTCAAACAGTACTTGGCATAATGTTGATATGTCTCAATGGGGGTCCAAATTTTCTTACAAAATTGATTCCAATTTCAAAATTAACATCCGCCTTTTTATTTGAACAAATTGAGTTAATAGTCCAAGCCATCACATCTGTACCAGCTGATGTAAAGGCTATTATATGTGATGACAACCGCGTAAATCAAGCTTTTTTTAAATTATATCCTACACTTCCTGAAAAACCTTGGTTAACTGAAGATAATAAACATTTGCTTTTTTGATTATGTTCATCTGTTGAAAAATATTCGCAATTTTGGCTGACAGAAAAAAAACAGGAGAACTAATCTTTGATGATGATGGAGTAAGTCGAGTTGCAAAATGAACACATCTTAAACAGTTATATCGTTTTGAATCTGAAAGACTAGTCAAACTTTCAGATTTAAATGAAATTTCCATTGCTCCAAAGCCAATAGAAAGACAACGGGTTTCTACTTGCCTCAGAGTGTTTTCTGAAAAAAAACATATAATGCATTTCTCCTCAGTCTGAAATAAGTGCAGGTAAGAATGATACTGCCTTCTTCATAAACAAGGTTTTGACATGGTGGAAAATTTTAAATGTTAAATCCTTCAAATTGATAAATTACATAATGATCCTCTACAAGCTGAAATCAAATCTCCAAATGACACCCGACTTGATTTTATCATTGAATTTGGTAAAATGGCTCTTAATATGGCTGGCAGTCAAGGTAATCGTAAAAAACAATTATCCCAAAAAACACTGCTACTGCCATACATCATATTTGCAATGGAATTGTTAGTCTATGTCAACACCTTTTAGCTACAAGTCATAAATATGTACTACTTGGGCAATTTTCAATTGATCCATTAGAAAAAGAATTTGGTAAACTTCGCCAAGGATCAGGTGGCACCTATTTTATAAATGTTCAACAATGTATTGAAAAGATGCATATTAAGCAGACATCTTTACTTTTTTAATCAAAATGTAAATATTGATGAATTTGATGTTAATCCAGGTCACCAGTGTACATCTTGTGATTATAAACTTTGTGAGGAAGGTTCAGAAATATTTGACAATCTGGAAAATTTAGAACCATCTCTTTACAGTGAAATAAAAATGGCTCTTGTGTACATAGCTGGATATATTACAAGAAATGATAATCAACCCAGTGAATGTGAAACCCATTTTTTATTATGAAAAGTATGGAAAATATACCAATTTAATTGACCGTGGAAAACTAAAAAGTTCCTTCTGACCACACTTGTCAATGGTTATTTTTTGTTTCATCCTTTTCCATACAATAAAGGAAAAGGTTTGCTATAAATCATTAAGTAACATTTTATGCTTATTTCTGAGTTTCATTTTTTTTTTCAACATGGAGAAAAAGCATGCTTCTATTTTTTGCAAATATAGTTTTGAAAATTTTTTTGCAAACATGGCACACCTAGATCAGAAAAGAACCAGCTCTAAAAGTTTTGAAACTTTCCTAGAATGATTTTTGTTTTATTTGTCTATATTTCTGTGATGATTGATTGTTATATACACACTTCAGTGGCTGATGTCTTCCAGCCTTCTTGGGTTCTGTTTGTCAAACCCAGTAACTGTAATGTAAATTTAAACCAAAGTCTTTATTCATTCACAGGGAATAGATTGAATAAAGGATTCAGTGACACCTGTAAATAATATAAATTTCTGATTCAATATATCTTTTACCAGAAATCATTAATTACCCCTTTGTGTTGTTTAATAATTATCAGTGTTCATAGCAGAAAAAAAAATACATATTTTCATTTATTTATCTTTCAACACATCCTATTATCCTCAGGTGTGAATAAAAATGTTATTCTAAGTATTTCATAAAGTGGTTGACTTCATTTTTTTCTTCTTGGCCTGGAGTATCAAGTTGATCCACCCCCAAAGTTTGTAAAAATTTTTTGATACACTCTGTGTGTGTGTGTGTGTGTGTGTGTGTGTGTGTGTGTGTGTATATGTTATTGTTTTTATGGGTAAAAAAAATGTTCAATAAGAAAGAGATGGTATGTCTGTTCTAACTCAACACCAAATGTGGAAGTCTTTTTTTGAATGCAATCTTGGCCTGAAGATTTGCATTTTTTTTAAATTTACCTCTTGTCCAATTTCTTATAAACTTCACAAAAAAGTTGAGACAAATTAAAAAATGTTTCTAAATTATGTCAGGTGATATAGAGTTTATGAGGTGTTACCAAACATTCTCAGGAACATTCCACAGAAAATCAAAACAATCCCAATTATGTACATTACTTATTTTAACAGAAAAAATTAGAATGATACAATAAAAAATTAAACAAATTTTGTCAGAATTTAACAAAACATATATATTTGCACATACTATGGTGGATCAACAAGTTTGTAATCTGATAAGTAGTTATGATCTGAAATATTCACTGTATAATGTTTGATTCATATGATAAATATTCATCAATGAATGAAGTGCATTGACAAAGAAGGAGCATGTTGAAAAATAAACATTTGTTATATAAAATAAAAGCTTTTTTATTGGAAGAAAGGGCACACACCTCTCACCTGTTATGCTGACAAACTAGGTTGGTCTATAAGCAAAGAAAAAGTTTGTTTGAGAATGTTTCAACCTTTGGTTAATAAGTAGAAAATTTACTTAGTAAGTCAAACAAACTTTTTGACCAACCCAATACTTATGGAATAGCATTGAATTTGATTACAAGTTAAACACATAGCTATTTTTTTAGAATGATACAATAAAAAAATTTAAATTATAATACTATGGTGGATCAACAAGTAATCTGTGAAGTTATGATTTTTTTTTCATGAAATATTCATAGATAATACATTGACAAAGAAGGAGCATGTTGAAAAATAAACATTTGTTATATAAAATAAAATGATATTACTAAATAGTTTTGTGAAGTTTGGTTTCAAGAAAATTTCAAATATCAATATACTATGGAATAACATTGAATTTATACTATTTTGTCAAAAAATTTAAATTATAATACAACAGAGTGAATTTTTTTACTAGATAATTTTAAGCACTATTAATGTTTCAAAACCAAAAAAAAAGTCAACTTTTTTAAACAGTCAATATTATACTTGTAACATATTCTAAATTCTAATGAAACAGTCCTTTTTAAGCCTACTTACTTTTGATCTGCCGCCACCCATGGCTCCAGTGCCAGCATAAATTCGGCTTACATGATCACCGTTTTCTGTCCAGATTTGTTTGTAGACTTCTTCAAAACGGGAACACATCTGAGGTTTGCCAGCAAAACCCAGAGATTCCATTTGTTTCTCAAGCATCTAACATAAATAAATATTTTCATTAACTTTTCATTTACTTAAAAATTATAAATCTAGTCTATTATGATAGAATAGAAACACCAAGACTTACAATTAAAGTGTTGAAACTATGCATTTTAATATAATTTATACAGAACAAAATAGCATTCAATAATGATGTTGAATTTTATTACCCAAGCAAGAAATATAACTCAGAGGATTTCTAAATTCATCTAATAAGCCAAAATGAAAAGCAAAAACAGAAAAATCTTTTAAAAAAAGAAAAAATTCCTCTAACAATATTATCAGCAACTAAAACAAATTTTATTTCTAAAAATTAAAAAGGTGGTAAGCTTGATTTGCAATTTAACTCTTCTGATATATAACACAGAATAAATGATTTGCATTTATGTTAAATAAAATTAGATTTGCATACTTACAATTAAACCATACATGTTTTGAACAGCATTTGTCCGATCAAGACAATCTACACAATTTGTTCGCATGGTCCCAAGTTGTTGACTGGAAAAGAAAAGAACAAATTTTTAAATAACAAACAAAAATAATAAAGTTTACATTATAAGTTTTCTGTATCATCATTTTGAATAAAAAACAGAATTAGTTTTGTGGGAATTCATTAATAAAAGAATTATTTAAAAAAATTTTTTCTACAATATTTTACAACATTTATTCACTTGCAAGAATACCCAGCATTGCCCAAGAAAAATACCTCCAAATATAACGAGTTTGTCTCATTCACTCACAGAAAGAGTGCACCGATAATTCAAATAGGTTAATTAACTGTCTCTCCAACAGTGTATGATGGGTAAGGACAAAAGCAAAAGACAACCAAGCCACTGCACCTGCATTGCTTATATAGCAGCAGTGTGATTAGAACATTCTAGAAAATTCTACAACTTTCCATTCCATTAGACAGATTTGCAAGCCAACAATTTGCATTGGACAGATCTAGATGCTAGCGATCTCCACAAAAATAACAACACAGAAAAGAGTTCTTCTTACACTACATAATAAATGAAGAAAAAAGAAAAAAAGATTATCTATGAAAACAACTATTACTGGCAAAAAGTTTCCTGTTGCCCAAAACAAAATGATGTATTCCCTTATGTCAACGGAATTTCTCAGTATACTGGTTGTTAAAAGTTTACAGATTTACCCCAAAAAGGACCAACATAAAGCTGACCATCGTAAAAATATCAAAGCTAGAGAGCCAGTGATTTTAAGACTTTGTTGGCAAGGTTTAACTTTCCTTCATGCATGAAATAAAAAAAAAAACACCAACAAACACTGTGTCACAACAGGACAGTTATTCCCTTGATACCTAGAAAATGCCAATATAAAGCTAACCATGGTAACAACATCAGAGTAGGGTTGAGAACTGGTGATTTTAAAACATTGTAAGCTTTATGGATGAAAAGAAAAAAAAAAAAAAAAAAAAAAAAAGAAAAACAATGTTTCCCAAAAGGTTGGTTATTCCCTTGATACCACCATTTCTCCTTCAGCAATGTTTAATTAAAAGATTATATGCAAACCCAAGTACAATGCAATATCTATTATTTACCATTTTATAAATAACTATGAAAAACAAGTTTTTTTTTTAATTCATAAAAATATCAATGAACTATAGAACAAGAAAATTTGAATAAAATATTATCTATTTTGATTTTTAAGAATAAACATTGCTGAGGGAGTTAAAAGTGTATACAGTAATATTGGTGTTAAGGGAATAACTGTCCTTTAGACAGTTTTTTGTATGCCAGATTACCAGATTGTTTTTGTCTTTTTGATGGTCATAGCAAAGCTGAAGCTTTAATTGTATCTTTTGTTGGAGCAGAGACACTGGTAGGTTCTAAAGTTTTGAACTATTTTTTAATATTTTAAATAGTTGAGAAAAAAAATCAATCAAATTCTGAAAATGTTAAAATTTTTGTCTGAAAACCCTTCTTTGAATGGCACAATCTTTTACAAACTGGAAAAAAAAAAAAAAATATATCAAGGTTTTTTTTTTTTAACTCTAAGTTTTTTATGTTTGGGAAAAATATACTTTAATTGAAAACTGACCTCTAATGATCTTAAATAGTCTACCCTATCAGTTTTTTCTGTCTTAATTCCACACCCCACACAAATTTATTTCTAAGAATGTAATCATTTGGTTGTAACACAAATCACAGAGGCCAGCAATTAATGCAACATAAATTAACTTTTATTGACTGAAGGTTGAATTTGTCCCTAACCCTGAGATTAAAAACATTTTTGTACTTCATAGCCAACTCAGTTTCTTAATTTTGCTAGAAATTACTTTGAGACAGAAATTATATGCTAGATATTTTCATGACCTCAAGGCCTAGTTTTGAAATCTTTATGCCAACTTAGCAAGCACAATATCTTAGTCCATTTAAGCAGAAAAATTATATGCCATACTCTTTGGTGACCTCCAAGTTCAACCCAGAACTTATATCTTAACTCAATGACCAGAGAGTTTTCATGCCAACATAAACTCAATATCACAACCCAATTTACCAAGAAATACTACCTTTAAATATGAATGACATTCTAATTCTTTGATCACTGGTGGTGACCTTTAAATTAACTTCTAAGGTCAACCATACATAGCCTATGTTACTACTTGAAGTTCTGTGGTTATCCACACAAAAAATTTGTGAATTCCTTTTGGCTGTGATGTGATGTGTGAAAATACACATATTTTATATACATATATATATATATATATATATATATATGAGAGAGAGAGAAAGATAGAGAAGGAGGGAGAGGCTGGCCACTCATATCAGAAGATGCCTGTCTATTGGAGTGGCTAGCTAATCCCCATTGCAGATGCCTGCTCAGGCACATTTGTGTTTGTTCAACACCCACCGAGCCCATCTGCGGTTCATACTGCAACTATGCAGTTACCTTAGTTACAGCTTTTGAGAGAGTGTGTGTTATCTAGCGTGATAAACTGTCTGAACAATGCCAGCATCAGTCATGATGACTTGTGACTTCATGCAAGCGCAAGCACAACCATCAATGGCTCCCCAAGGGTTCTGTCTACTCAATTTCACTCACAAGGTTTGGGTCAACCTGTGATATAGTTTACAGGCACTTCCAAAAGATGCTGCACATGGGATTGTCTCCTCCAGAATGATAACATCAAAAGGTTACTTTCCTGACAAACTCGGTTCTCATGGTCAGAAAGTGAATGTTCTAACAATGTGCCCATATATATATATATATATATATATATATATATACATACATACACACACACTTTGTTATATTATTATTATTATAGATTAGAGCATAATTGATTTATCGAGTGTTCAGTTGATAAAAATTTGGATCATAAATGATTAATAAGTATAGAAAATCTAATCCAGAATTAGCAATTAGAATGCTTCAAAATAAATGTATTCATTTTTATTATTAAACAGAGATAACAGAAATTAACAGTGAAATTGATTACTGTGCAATTATTCTATACTTGTTAAAGATGAGCGGTGGTTCCACAAGAAGTATAAGCATTTAGCTGCAAGATGCATAGTTCATTCGCATGTAAAGAGATGCAGACATCATTTGCATGTAAGGAAATGTATAAAAAACAAGTCATTCAGATATAAAGATATCATTTATCAATTGGATTATTTCCAAACAATCCCCAAATGAAATATCTTTAATGAATCCAGATTTAAATAAACTAAACTACAAAACTGGGAAATTGTTTCTAATCTCATCAAATTTTAAACATTTTCAAAGAAACTGAAGAAGACTCAATTTTGTGAAGATAATAAAGTATTTATTTTAATTCTTCTTATTGAAATATCTAGAATTATCAAAAGGCATCAACATATTTTCTTTTCATTTTTCACTAGACTTGATAATTTAGCTTCAAATAGATAAGCAAACATTCCATCTATTTTTGTATTTTGAACTAACAGATGAAAAACCGTTTATATCACCTGCATAAAAATCATTCTAACTGTTAGCTGCAAACAGTTTGCAAAATTATTATTCCAGGCTGTAATGTGCTATCTGGTTCAAGCATAGATCCATGAAATAATGAGTTTATGACTTTTTCCAGAGTTCATCATAGTTATGGGGTCACATAAATCTAATGACAAAACTGCTATAATCTTATAGCTGTTATGCAATGACACATGACAATTGAAATTCTGTTATGCAATGACACATGACAATTGAAATTCTGTTATGCAATGACACATGACAATTGAAATTCTGTTATGCAATGACACATGACAATTGAAAGCCAAAGGAATGAATAGAAAACATGAGAGAACTTTTTAGCACCCCCCTCATATGTCTGTATGTATTCATTCCTTAATAACAGGATGCAGGGTTTGAACCTTTGTGAGAATTATGTATTTGTTATATTTGAGGCATTCTTCTTCTATGTGCTGTGTCCCTATAGGGCATGGGGGGGTCATGGTTCTCCACAACATCCTGTAGAGACATAAAACTACATTTTTACAAAAACTACATTATCTACATTTTTACGTATTAATCTTGATAATCCATCAGCATGTCCTAATCTTTTTTAGATGGTTATTACTCCATCGTAAAATTATAGTTTAATAAGATGGTACCCCAGTGTTGTAAACTATTAGCTGTATGCATAGGTATTCCTTTCTTTGAATCATATATTGTTAATAAAGGTTGGTGGTCCGTTTGCAAACTAAAATAAGGCTTTCATTTTACTGCCATTGTATTTGTGTAAAATCACTGCTCCAATACTGTACTCACTAGCATCTGATGCCACTACAATTTCTGCTTTTGGATCGTAGTGTGCTAATGATAAATCTGACATCAGTATTTTTTTTTTTTATTTTGTCAAACCCCTTTTGACAGTTATCATTCCAGTTCCACTTTACTCCTTTTTCAAGTAGATTGTTAAGTGGAGCTTTCAAATTATGCATATTATGTACATATAATTGAAAGTAATTAACCAATCCTAGAAAAGCTTGTAACGTTTGTCACATTTGTTGTTGGAGTCATATTTTTAATTGTACTTGCCCTCAACGGATCTGGTTGATGACCATCTTTATTAATAATTTGACCAAGGTATTTAATTTTTGGCAAAAACAATTTGTATTTTTCTTGAATCCTACTCTTAGTTTTTCCAAAATATGTTTTCCCATGCTCAACATGATCTTTAGATACTTTTGATTAAAATGTCGTCTAGATACGCCACTGCGAAATCTCAATCAGCAAGCATGGTAGCCATAGCTTGTTGAAAAAATAGCTGGTTCCAACTTTATACTAAAAGAAAGTCAGTTAAACTTATATAATCCTCTGTGCATATTTATGGTGGTTAATTATGAACATTTATTTTCAATCTGAATTTGTAAATATACTTCAGAGATATCCAGCTTTGAAAATATTCTTCTACCATTTTTAAAAAAAAATTTCCTCTGGACTTGGTAATGGGTAGTTATGAGTTTGTAAACAACTGTTTAATCCTGTCTAGAAATCTGTACAAACACAAATTTTGTTATTTTTTTCTTTAAATACACTACTAGTGCAACCCATTTTGAATGGTTAATTTTTTTTCTATTACACCAATTCTTTTGAGTCTGCCCAAATCTCCGTTAATTTGTTCCAATGCTGTGAATGGTACATTATGCCTCGGCTTACATACGGGCATCAAACCTTTTTTTTTTTTTTTACTTAAAAATCAACCTTGAATTTTAACCAACAACAGTTCATTTAACAGAACATCTGGAAAACATTTTTTTAATTCTTAAGATTTTTGCTCTGACTTTTTAAATTGGTCACTTGTCCACTTATTTTTTTTTTTTAAAACATTTATCAGCAAATTCCAAAGTTCAAATAGTTCCATCCAGTCAGCACTGAATAAATTTGTAGCATCTTTTAATACATAAGCTTTAATTTTTACATGTTTTTTGCAGAATGAGATATTACAAGTCATTTCTCCAAAATAAAAATAATAGTTTCTCACCAAAAACTGAAATCACAACTTTGGAAGTCCTCTTTAATAAAGGCTTTCCAATTTCCTTCTATGTGGTTTCACTGATTATTGAAATATCACTACCAGTGTCCAGTAGCATTTTCACACCATATTATTCTAACATTCACAAATTTCCTTTTGTTTTCTGTGATCTTTTTTTCTGTCGCAATGCTGTGTAAAATTTCTTCCTGTTAAAATTTTCTCTTGATTGGTTTTGCAGTGTGACTTTATATGTCCTCATTTATCACACTTATAACATTCTGCATTTTGAAATGGACCGTATTTTCCAAGATGTAATTTACCACATGTAAAACAAGGATTAATTCTCCTTTTTGTACATTTGTCCTTTGCTTTTACCATTGCACATTCTTTTTTTTTTTTTTATTTTCTTCAGTATCGTGTTTCAGGCTTAGAATTGCCCGGCAATTGCCCACTATTTCTTTCAGTGTAATATTACCATTTTGTTCAGTTTTTGTTAAAATTTTCACTTGTATTTCAGCATCTTTTCTAGCTGTTAAACCTTACATGAAAATTAACCCTTTGAACATATCTGGAGTCATTTCCTTTATTCTAAACTTTTCACATTCTTTGTTGACAATACCAACATACCTGACAAAATCTTTGTCCTCTTCTTTGGTTAGATCCATGCACCTCCAACAAGCATTAAACAGAGAGCTTTTGTCACTAAAGATTTTCATCAGAATGTGTACCATGTCTTCAAACCAAATTTCATCTGTTTTTTTTTTCAGTAATATTAGTTGTAGTATTTTTCATACTCTATTGGAGCTACTTTCCTCATCAACAATCTTGTTTTTCTCTCATCTTCCCAGCTGCTTCATTCCTGACTGAATATTTGTTCATATCTATGAAAATATGCAGAAAAAGTCAGTTCCTCATCAGGATTGTATACAAATTCTGATATGGTGTTTTGGACAGTGTCTAGCATAAAAGACATTGACAAATTTTTTGTTTTCTTCCGAATCATATCCAATAACTCTTGTTGATGTTTTTGTAGTTCTAGTAAGCGGTAATTTTGTTGTTGCTGTTTTTGTTGTTGAATTTTAACTATCATAGCCAAAATTTGCTCTATATTTGCAAGAATAGGTTGGTTTTTTCCCCACACCCAAGAGAAAAACAATTTTTTTTTTAAACCAACGTTGTTAAAATTCTTGTCACTTGTATTCTTGTTCCTGAAGCAAAAAGCATATTTTTTTTCTCGTACTTGGTCACTCAGTATGAGATTCCAAAATCCTTGTAACTCCAGTTACAACTCTTATGAGTTCCTGAATCCTCATTACAGTTAGAAATTGTAAGAGTTCCAAATCCCCATCATAATGGTTATAAATCACCTGAATTTCAAATCCTTCATTGCCACTGTTTTAACACACTTTGTAGTGCTTATAATATAAGTAATACTTTGGCTACTTGCCATGACATCTGTATTAATTAGTCTGAAGACAGATTCCACACTGCTCCTTTCTCCTCACCTCTGACCTGGAGTTTTTTTTTTTTTATAGTTATGACTAGTTCATATAGTCACCAGGGGTGTATTATTTACTTCACAATAGTTAACCTTGCTTGGGTTGGAATGATAAAAAAAATATCAGGAAAACAGAGATGCTTTAGGATATCAACAGTGGGTATTAGTAAAATGTTTCCAGAAATAATATTTTATTCCCTTTCTTAATAATTCTTATTTAAGGAATGTATTCTTCAGTTTAAAATAGACATACTTTGACCTATCAACCAACTACAAGAGGTTGCTGAAGAGTTCTTGGCCCAACCAAGAAGCTCCCTTAAAAAAAAAAAAAATGTTTGGTTATTTGGTCAGATTTTAGTCAGTATAGCAAGTTGACAGTCTTTTATTGATATCTGTATGTTTAAATATAGAATACCTCATCATAAGCTACAGTGATGTATTTAATGCAGTTGAGATAAAACTAACTCCCCACCAACTACAACTTTGCTAATTCTCTCATCAAAGCTTTGTATAGCAAATTTTAGTTTGACTAACAATTTTCATGTGCTATACATGACACTCTTATAACCAATTGAACTCTGACATTCCTTCTTAGCATTTCCTGTTTGGGACTTGAAATTTAAAAGACACAACTAAAAATTATGACTCATACACCAAAAGATGAGAATACAGTCAGATATTGTTATACAGCAGTTAGAAATATAAAACCATTACAAGTGGGTAATAGTAATTTGTAGAGGAAGTTGATCTTTTTTATCCACATTATACTTTATTCAGAATAAATTTAACAGTTTGGGATATGCAAAACACTCAGGATGGAAAAAGGATAAAAATGATTTCTTAAAGTTCAATATGGATAAAAAGAAATAGTTTGAAGTCACTGGTATTTTTTTATCACGTGTAAATTTTTTTCTTTTTAAATTTATGCTAATTTTTTAGATTTTCTTTTTTTTGCATCATATATTTTAGCTGGCTGTTTCTCCCCTTGTCTTCAGATAGCACTTTCATTTGGAAATTTCTTCCTCAAAGACCATGTTAGTCTCAACTATTTTAAAATGCTGCCAAGGTTTTTGATATGGTGATGATGATGAAACAAAAAAAACTTACTTGGTGATATTGCCTGTAGAACTGTGGAAAAAGTTGAAACTGTTTAAATAATCAATAGTAATCTTTTTCAGCTTAGCAAGATTCCTTAAATTCCCACCTCTGCATTCTGCATGATAGTCAAAAGCAATATGAGGGATGTCCTTATGACATGAACTGTTGTGGTGATTCTGAAATAAAGAAAGGCAATACATACAAGTCTCTTTCTAAAAACAGGAAAAAGATGCTAATGTTTTAAACTTTGCCATCTTTTCCATTTTTTAAAGGCTCATTTTTCAGAATATTTTAGTAAGATTCTTTAAATGGCTGGAAGGGATCATGTGACGCAAGCAAGATCTTTTGTAGAATTTTTTTTGGTAACTGGTAGGACTTCCATTTTTACAGTGTTTCCAGTTCTCTACAGATTAAATCTAAAGAGAGGGTTCAGGCTAGTATAAATAATTTTTTCTGTGTGGGATGCAGGGTACCAATCTTATCCCTTAAACAAAAGGTTTACTTACATGGCCCAGGGTCAAAGGTCATAAAGCTACAATGTTGAACACTTTTGGGTTTTCAAATGACTGAGCAGGCTTAAGAGGTCCTCAAATGTATCAATGACAAGAAAACTTGATAAATCAGACTGAACTCTCAGAACCTGAACTCTAAACAAAAGTAGTTTTTTTTTTTACCTCTTATTGTATATTCTTTATTTAACTGTAAAGACAGTCTCTTTCTGGCAAATATAATGAATTTATCAACTGATAATAAAAAAGAAAAATGCAAAATGTATCTTATTCCATTTTGTCGAACTACCTTTCAGCTCCAAGCTTTCCAGCCAACTTTAATCTGGAAAAATTTAAATGCCATGTCAACCGTGATCTACTGTTTTTCTGATTACTCTTTTCTCTTCCCACCCATTATTAATGTTTCTGTTCCTAATTCTGCCACACCCATTAACCCCTTGTGTCTTAGTGGCTTTACTGCCTTACATAGGGTGATTAACCAAAAAAAAAAAACCAAAAAAAAACCAACAATTCCAATACTTTTAATGGATCCATTACATGCAGCACAAGTACCTTCAACAGACTTTTTTTTTTTTTTTAAATTTCTAACATCAAAATTGAAAAATAGATCTCAAATTACTGAAAATTCCTAGTTTTGGACATTATCTGAGAGTAAAACTTTAGAAAAATGTCTGCTTTAATATATCCTACTTTGAGTGTTACAGATTATGTAAACAGTTAATAATGAAAACAATAAAGGGATGTTTTACACCTTAAAGTAAAAGTAAATTTAAAAATTTATATGCAATAGGACTATACATATATACAATTTCTCAACAGGCAAAAGATGATATTGTAACATGGGAGAATTGAAAATGACATTGCTGCATTTAAGATGATAGCTTGAAAATATTCCTTTGTAAATGAACTGACCTGGTATGCTTGGCTGAGCATGTGTTCTCCTTCTTTGCTTCCCAACAGATTCACAATTACTTGCTTGCCATAAAATTTCTTTAACATACTCATATGTCGATCAAATGCTGGGGCACATGCTTCAAAGCCACGAGACAAGCGAATTTTATGAGATCCCACCTGGAAAAGAAAATATGTTATCAATTATTTTTTTAATGAAAATTTCACTATCTTAGATAAAAAAAAAAAGGACAAAAACAAAACAACTAAATATATGTAGATATTTGTATTTTCTCATCTTCCTCTACTTGAGAAGGCACAGAATAAAAATCAAAGTTTAAATCAAGCTAATATAGACATGGATCCATAAATCATGCCATACGTAAATGTGGTTCAAAAATATATATACCATGGGTTATTATAAAAATTTGCATTTTGAAAAATGCTTACTGGAAACCTGGAAATCAAATTTGAGGAAAGTGTTTTTCTTTGGTGAAGAAATTCTAAAAGAATCAAATCATTGATACTAGACTGGAAAATGCCTCAGAGAAATAATTGTCAATATTAAATTATATTAAATTATATTAAAGTCAATATTAACCAGATCAAATACATTTTCATATCATTAAAAATAAAAAGAACAGCTTCTGATGCCTTGTAGAAAAATATATTAAAAGGGCTTCAATTTTCTTGTCTCAATTGTCTTAAAATATGAAAGTAAGAAATGAGTATACCATGACCTAAGAGCTACATGACAAAATTGAATAATTCTTAGGAAACGGTTCTAAGATACTGATCAAGCAAATTTTTTTTTTTTTTCATAAAAATAATTTGCACTTGCAAAAAATAATTAAAATACTAGGTAAGATAAATACACCTTGTGAAAAATCATTATTAGGATAAAAAGAGTAAATTCAGCCTAAATGAAAGAAAGACTGATAGAAGATGACTTACCTGAACACCAGGCTGATCCCAGAATAAGGGGACTGATCCCCTAACTTGAAGGAATGAAGAGATCTGATCATCTAGGAAAATCACCTACCACAAAAAGGAAAAAAAAAAAAACAGTTTGATATTTTTTGAACATATCTTTTTTATATAAAATTTGTTTTGAAACACTCCCAAGTTGTATTATTGGGTTTTTTTTTGGTTTTTTTTACTTTGCATGAGTAAGAATAATTGACAATGGGCAGTGGACAAACGACTAATTGAGTAACAAAAAGCCAAAAGGCTGCAAAAGAGAGACAAAATGAATAGAAACTGTTTTTTTTTAATCATTTCCTCTAAGTAAGGCAATAATGCCACAAGAGGCTATGAGAGTGAAAGAGAATGAGAAGAATTTTGTGGGGAGAAAGGACAATAAAAGAACAGGTTTCAGGAAGACAGAAGATGGTGACTGGCATTACACTTAAACTTTGAATATTGTAGACAGGGAAGGAAGAAATCAGAAAGAATTCTACAGGTGAGATATGCAAGATAAGAAACCTAAAATAGAACATATGGTTGCATTTAGTTAGTTCAGTAAAATGGTGAGATCTAATTGCCAATCTAGTAACACGCTTAAATTCATGCAGTTGAAAAATTCATGTAGGAAAAAATGAAAATATTTGTGAAGACAGAGGGAAGCCATGCCACAGTGGTGAGAAAGTGGCTGAAGACTCCAGTAAATGAAGTATACAGTTATCTTAACATACGTTAATTTTGCATATGTTTTTAACCAACAAAATCTTGTTTCATTTTTACTAGCCTACTTTCTACAAATGCCAACAGTAAGAAATTAAACTTTTCTACAACAAAAAAGTGAGGTGCTAAGTTGATATTAAACAAACACGTCATAAAGCCCATTTAAAAAGTTAACCAAATATCCACTGGCTGACTGAAGAAAAAAAACTAGACATATCAAAGATTTTAATCCAATCTGGATGTTGTAATATGTCTACTTGATTATTAAATAAAAAAATTAAAACATGCTGACTAAAGTAATAGCAAACAACAAAAGATACTATCAAATGTTTTTGATTGATCAACCCATCTGCCAAAATCATATGATAATATACTTTGATCAATAATCTTTGATATTCCTCAGAAAAAAAATACTTTTTAATAGATGATTGTAACAAATCAAAAATCAAAATGGTTTATTTGGAAATTTGGATCAATAAAAAGTTTTGGTTTTATGATTTTAACAAAAATAAGTGGATCAATCCAATTATATTGAATGGGTAAAAAAAAATAAAAAAAAATAAAAAAAAATACTGATACTCATGTCAACCACACATTTTACCTGTTCTGTTTCCACAAAATTTGCCACATGACCATCATCATTGGTTCCTCGTACCATGAATCGAGTCCCTGCTCGTTCGCAGCTCAAGCGAGATATGAGACAAGCTTTAGCCTGTTTATTGCCAGCATAGATTGTCCGAATCTCAACACCACCAGATATGACTTTGAATAACCATTGGCTACAATCTACGCCATAACGTTCCAAGTGGACATGCAACATTTTGTTCCTGGAAGAGAGAAAAAAATTTTCTTTTTTTGAAAAGCTATAAAATTAAATTAATCTACATTTAAAAAGAAAAAAAAAAGGGGAAAAAAGCAAAAAATAAAGTCAATCTGGTTAAGAACTGAAGAAATCAAAATTCAAAACATTATCCACAAGTAAAAATAAAGGCTTTTATAAATAAACTATATCCCTCAGTAGGTATGCGGCTGAGTGATTCAAATACTAGAATTCCAACAGGGTTGTTTTGTCAGGGAGATCAGCCTGGATAGGTGATCCCAGAGTGTGGCATCATTTGGAAGTGCCTAAAAACCAAACCACAAAGTTGACCTAAACCTTGTGAATTAAATTTATCCAACAGAAATGTTTGGAAGCCATTGATGGTTGTGCTAGTACAAAGTTACAAATCATTGTGATCAATAGTTTGAGCATACTGGCCTTGTTCAAACTGGTGATCATGTACTCTTCCCCAAAAACTGTAACTAATGTTTGCTCAGTATAATTTAAGCTGTTGGTGTTGAACAAACACAAATGTTCAACAAGGATTGACTACTAACTATAGCAGACATGCATACTCAGATATGAACAGGCAGCCATACATATGCCTTAATTGTTTTGTTTATAAATCCACAAATCCAGTAACACATGTAGCTATTCTACTTGCCCTAATGTTGAGGTTAAACCTTCTCACTTAATTCCCCATTACTACTTTTAGTTGCAATATTTGCGTGAATTACAAGCAGTTTTTATTTGATTACCAAAAATAAAATGAAATCTATTTTTGTATATCTGACCTTTGAAACTTACAAATTCATTTTTTACTTTTGACCTTTTTTATTCAATTTCTCAAAATAATTTTTTTTAATTTTATGTATAAGAAAAAGGAAAGAATACTCAATATATAATTAACAAAATTAAAAACTAAATGATATATATATATATATATATATATATATATATATATATTAAATGGAATGTTTGAAAACCCCACAATTCTAATGGTGTGACAAAGATGGTTAACTATGTACTATCAAAGTTTAAATTAATGTAAAAATCTTATCAAAAGCAAAGAAAAATTATGCAATTCCTACTAGTGCAGCAGAAAACATTTTCATATGACAATTCATTGATCATCCTAATAATTTATAGAATAAGAGCAAAAATATTTTAGGAAAAAAAAAAAAAAAGAAAAAAAAAAAAAGAAATCTGAGACGCACCAGAAAAATCTGTTGTCAGTTTCATGCTGTTGCAGTTGTCGCTGAGCACAAAGACTGAGATCCCAGGCATCTTTGGATGAAGACCAGGAGAAATAGAATGTTCCTGAATTCAATAGCTTGCGTATCTCATTGACCTTTTCATCATCTGATGCATGGCACTGCAGTGGTATGAATGTAGTTGCTGTCACACGAAAAACTTCTGAATCAAGAATCTTATTCACAGACACACATGCAGTTACCATAACCAAATACAAATTGACGACATCACCTGCAAAAAAAAAAAAAATTATTTCAACTATGTTTTCAGAAAAGGTAGTGACCATAATTTGACTTTTGGATCTAATTCCATTTTAGATTTTAAAAAAAAGAAAAAAAAAATCCCAAAAGGTGTCTTTTATAATCTTTAAACAATTGACTTTATTAGAAAATGCCATTCTATTTTTGAATTTAATTTCAAGTAAAACAAATACAATCAGCATAGTGAAAAACCTCCTTTCAAAAGATGTAAAATTTTTCATTATATTCATTCTTTCATATTTAGCATCTTCATAGTTGTTTCAGGTTCAACAGTTCCACAAAACATCTACAGTAACACACAAAAGTATTAGACACAGGATATTCTAAGAAAATAACAGTTTCTATTATTGCTACTAGCATACAGCTTAGGTTCAATATATTTAGGATATAATATGTATAAAAAGAAATAATGTTTGCCTATACATAAATTGAGAAATATGAAGCAACACAAAACTTTGGTACACATTCCAAAAATATAAATGAAACATGATATAAAAATTGAAGCTTGGTATTGGCTTCTATTCAAATTAATTAATTTGCTAATTTCAACTGAAAAATTTAGAGCATGTGACACACTAAGTTTAACAATTTATAATGGCGACATGGACTTTAAATGGTTATTGCTGACATGTGTGAAGTTTTTCACAATGACAAAGACAGAAGAGCTCTCAAGTATATCACAAAGTGATAATTGGCCATCATAATTGTGAAATAAGATATTGAAAGATATCCAATAAACATAAGATTCCCAAAAACTTGGGAAATTTGAGCAAGAAAAAAGTCACCTAGTTTCCACCATGTCCTTTGAAGTACACTTTGGTGTATTATTAGATCCCCTACAAAAATGCAGTATTTTGGTAAATGCTCAGATTAAATGAAAAAGGATGAGTTCTTGTGGTGATTGTGTCATTTGTTAGAGTAAATGGGATGTGAATCAAATTAGCCAGGAGTAGGATAGACAGTATTGACCAGCCTTTTCCACTTCCCTTTTCAGCCTCGTGCCACAAATTGATGTATCATTGATTAAATAAACCCCTTGAAGTACTCTCATTCAGCAATCCAGCAAAGAAAAAATACTGCTCACAAAAAGCAGCCTCAAAAATCTTTACATTTGGTTTACAAGCACTGTTTAAATTCCTCTAACTTTTAGTTAGCAATTTGTATTATAGAAAATTTCAGATAAGAATAAATATTGCTTTTTGAGTCATTATAATGAATAAGCCCCTGAGTCAAAATACAAATTTCTTCATTATATAGATAAATGCTTAAATTTTAGATAACAAATTTTTTTTATTTTTATTTTATTATTAATATCAGTTTTTGGAGGTGTGTATAGCATAGAAGTTATCAGCACAGAAAGTGAAATTAGCATGCAGAGTTCAAATTCCTGCAGAGTTTGTTGCATTCACTTGTACAAAAATACCTTTGGGAAAGGTATGAACCCATCTCTTCTAGCTCCCAAAGTCATGAGTTAAATGGGCTCTCGAGCATTGGTTGGCAACCAATCTAGGACAACTTAATTCAAAACTGGTTGGGGCTAGCAAGTTCAACCAATAAAAACCTACATGTTACAGAAACCACAGCAGCAATAATGTTCCCCACTGAGAAGTCTGATGGCATTGACGTTAAGGAGGAACAGGAAAAAGAGGAATATCAATTTTAAAACAGTTAAATGAAAGGAGGAACCAAAATATCAAATTTTGATTTAAATATCCACAGAAATATTACACAAGTTTTATAATAATCCATTCTCAAATAGAGAAAATATGAATCATTACTCTCATGGTCAGCCAATAGTTTCATAAGGATGTAAAATGTATATATATAAACATATGCTACATCTTTCTTTGCTGAATTTGGCATCTATGACTATTTGACCTTTAATGACATCATGTGAATCCAGTAGTTTCTATTTGTCTCTCTATAGAGGACTTAATGAACCAAGTATAATGATTTTGTACATTCCAGTCAAAGCATTCCAAGCTGAATGACTCCAAAAATATAAATATATTCTACATAAGAAACACAATGCCTACATCTATGAGAAGAGGCTGAATTGTTCTTAGCTTGACTAAAAAGAGATACAAATAGGAAACAAAATAAAATTATAAAAATCCTGTTTGGTCAGGTTTTAGGAAGCGAGTTAGGCCGACAACTTTTCAGCACCCACTTGAGTGTGCGCATGTGCATAATACTTTTTACAGAGTGTGCAGATACGACAATGATCCTAAGTAGAAATTCTGGGGAGCCACCTTTTGATTTTAAACAGAATACACAAATATTTAATCCAAGGCTAAAGGTTGAGGAGTGATACTCAGATCCTAGGCAGAAATGATGACCCATACATTAATAATCTCATCACTTTTTATGACCATTATGCTAGTTTGATACAGTATAAAAAGTTTGTATTATAATACAAATCAAAAACTAATTAGACAATTTGATCTATTAGGATTCAATCCTGTCCTTTTAATGTCCTTTCTCTTTTTCTCTCTCCCCAACATTTTTTTTTTAATTCATTTACCCTCAGTAATCACTTGCATCTTAGTGGCCTTATCACCTTACTTGGAATAAAATGATTAAGAAAAAAAAAAGTCTGAATGTAAATAATGATAATGCCACATCCCAGATATTCAGACAGATAGTAGGGAAAAGCATAAACATTTTAATTATCAGAACTTATTTATAATTAACTCAGAGAATTATTATTTTTCAGTTTTTACTAAAAGAAAGTTCCCAAAAAGGAAATTCCTATACAAAAATTAAAAATTATTTCCTTTGCTTGTGAATAAAATAAAATGAAAGTCTTAATTGCATATCAGAGTTTTATAATTTTTAATCCCCACTCTAATGTTCAACTGAATTGGAATTCAACTTTATTGGTTATGTAGAATTTTCTCTTGAGTTAATGATACAGTGGTAGGCAAAGAAATAAGTGACTTAGAAATAATTTGTTTTTAAAAGTTTCACTAAACAGCTTTAAATGTTTGACAATGTACTTTCAAGTGTAGCATAAGTTATTGCATTCAAACTGACACTGTATGAGGTGGGATAAACATCTGAATATATGATGATACTGAAAATAGGGAATGTAAAAAATTATGAATTAATTAAAAAGTAACATTAAATTTATCTATATATTTTCAGACATTATAATCAGCATTTAGTGTGATCCCCACTGAACACTGCAAAGTAATCAATGAGAAACTCATTTGTTGTATAGTATCTATGGAAACACACACTGTATGTAATTTCTTTCTGCTATATTTTTAAAATAGGTGTATTCTTTACTATTTAGTATTCCATTGATTTTTATCAACTTTCTTGTATTATTGCTTTCAATGTAGCCCCAAACCATCAGATGCCCACCACCAATCTTTACAGCCTTTGTTGCAAATCTTGAATTGTTTCTTGTAGCAACTGGTCTTCAGACATACTCTCTTGTATTAGAATATAGTTCAAGTTTGCTTTTGTTCCTAAATATCAAATGTTGCCTTTTTTTTTCTTTTTTTTTATTATCTCATAACAAATTGGTTAGAAAAAGATATTTCTTTTTGTTGCAATATATTTATTCAGATTATTTCTGTGTATCTTTCCTATTGTATGAAGTGACATTTAACTAGGAATGTTGTTTTCATCTGTTGCTTGACTAGACTTTAGCTTGGATAAGAAATTTGCATGTGAATTTAACTAAAGTTATTTACAAGGCGAGAATAGTAGTAGGCAAATTGGTCAGAATTTTGCATGCCTGTTTTCAGCACTACCATACATACACATGCTTATCTCCCCTTGTCCCGTGTCATTGTGGATGCAGTAACTTGCACTACAGTCATAAATGTCCTCAGATAATATTCCCAAAAGTCCATTGTCAAACATTTTTTCTTCTTTTATATGCTGTGTCCTTTCAGAACAAAAGCGATCATGGCCCTCCATATCTTCCTGTCCTTTGTAGCTCTTAATAAATTTTGTCTTGTTATTTCTCCCAAACCTTGTTCTGCCATCCATTTGCTTCATTACAATACATTGGCAAGCAAAAAAAAAAAAAAAAAAATTAAATTCATTTTTATTATGAGGTTGTAAATGTTTGACTAACATTAGAAAGAGTCAAACATTTATAATAAGATGATCCTTTTTTTTTTTTTTTTAAAATTCATATAAGCTTGTACACAAGTATCTATATTTTTACTGTATCCCTTAAGTTCAAAGAAGATAATGAAACTTATTATCAAGCTAACTACTGATAATTAGTTACCATTTGATTTTTCATGTTCTGATTATTATAAAATAATTAAACATTCAGAATAAATAGAATGACAATTTTCTTAATTTATTAAAATGAATTGTGAAGTAAGGAAATTGATATTTTATAAATTATTATTCTGCTCTCCCTGAAACAAATAAACAGAATTAATTGAGAAAAAAAAGAGAGATGAATAAAATTGAAATTTGGGTCTTCTAATGGTTTATTGCATTTTATTTTAAAATTAACCATATATCTATTCCTATCCACATTTTATATGACTAATGTCAAACTAAACTCAGTTCATTTAAAAAAAAGAAAAGAAAAAAGTCAACAAATTCTGAGGGAGATAGGTATAAACCAATTTATGTAGAAAGTATTAGTGATGCTTGAGGAAACACTCCAACTTATAGGTTACAGGACTTTCTAGCCTTGGTTGACAACCAGTTTAAGAACAAAAATTCTAAATTCAAAACAATGGAGATTGTAATGCAAAATGACTTCACTATCTTTCCTATGAAGGCATGTCAATTCACAGATAATAAAGAAAAAGGAATATATGGGGAGTCATGATTGCGTACATCCTGAAAAGACATGGCATTTAGAACACAAGGAATAAAAGGAAGAAAAACCTTAATCACAGCAGAAGTTTATTTTCATGTACAAAATTATCTCTCATAATTCAGTTGGTTCAATGATGTATCTTACAAATTAATAACTGAGAAATTGCA